TGCCCATATTAACTTGTGCTGGGCTGGTCATGTCCAAATTGGATTTGAGAAAGCTTGATGTTTTCTTGTAGTGAGGCAGTGTGAAAGAGGAGTGGCCTTCCTGGAATGTAATCACTCCATCTGCAGTGCCCCTTCCTGGTGGAGCTGGTATGAATATAGCTGCACTACCCACTTAGGGCCAGGATGCAGCTGTGGAGGCCATATGGTTCTCCTAGATAATCATGGTTAGTATTCATCTAGCGCTCACTGTGAGCTTAACCTCATCATGGTGGCTGTCACCAAATAGGTATTTCATAAAGAAGAACTGTTGAATGCTTTTGAGGCTTCACCACAATTTTGAGAGGTATTATCCCATGTTTGGTGAGTAGTGTGAAATTTGGAAAGGGTTCAGTAGGTTGCTCAATATTAATATAGTAAGTGGTGGAGCAAGGACAGGAACCCTTCATTTATTTTAAAGAGGCATTTTTTAAAAACTTATTTAAAAGGCAGCATTACAGGGAAGGGAAACAGAAATCATCCATCCTTTGGTTCACTCCCCAAATGGCTAAAATGGCAGGGATGGCCAGTCCAAAGTCAGGGTCTAGGAGCGTCATGGGGATCTCCCATGAAGGTACAGGGCCCAAAGTAGTTAAGCCATTTTCTACCAAGTTCCCAGGCACATTAACAGCTGGGTTAGAAATAGAGAAGCTGGCTTTTAAGTATTGCCCCTGAGGCATGCTTGTGTCACAATGAGCAGCTTAACCTGCTATACCACAACAGCAGCCCCTACTTTGCTTTGAAAGGCAGAGAGGGAGTCAAGAGACAGAGTGTCCTCTGGTTTATTTCCTCAATGCTGCCAACAACTTGTCCTGGGCCAGCTCAAAGACAGCAGCCCAGAATGCAGTCTGTCTCCCATGCAGGTGACAGGGTCCTAGTTGCCTCCCAGGATGTGCATTATTAGCAGGAAGCTGGAATTGGAAGCAGAACTAGGGCTCATACCCAGGTGCTCCGATGTAAGATGCAGGTGTCCCAAGCAGCATCAGTCTGATCCCGCTGTTCTTTAAAGTGTTTGAAAGCATATCCATTGATGGTTCATTTCCCAAATGCCTGCAATGTCAAAGGCTGGGAGCCAAGAACTCGATCTGCTCTCCATGAGTGGTAGGGTCTCAGCCACTTCAGCCCTCACTGCTGCCTCCCAGGATCTGCTTGAGGTGGAAGTTAAAGTCAGGAGCCAGGAACCCAGCCCACCTAACTCCCCAAGTGGAATGCAGATGTCTGAACCTGCATCTTAACCACTAAGCCAATTCCTACTCCTAGGGTTAGACTCTTTTTAAGTCCATCTGATACCAAAGCCCATGGTTTTACTTCTGTACTTCCAGTATTAATCTATCTCTTTAGCCTTGGAGATTTGAGAGCCTATTTCTAGCTCAGTCTCTCTCTTTTTTTTTTTTAGCTTAGTTCTTTTCTCCCTGGGAAACAGCAACAACTTTGGATAACATGTTTCCATTGTATTTCCCCCTGCTCTTCCTTGGCCTCCTGTACAGAAGGTGGAAGCACTGAGTTTGGGCAGCACTAGACCTCTGAAGCCCTCTGGCAAATCAACAGGATGAGTCTCTGTTACTGTATAATGAGGACATAGTAACTACCTTACTTGACATCCAGTGGTACTGATGATAGTTTAGAGTTGGGGCCTGGTGCTGTGGTTCAACAGGCCAATCCTCTGCCTGTTAATGCCAGTGTCCCATATAGGTGCCAGTTTGTGTCCTGGCTGCTGACTTCCCATCCAGTCTCCCTGCTTATGGTCTGGGAAGGCAACAGAAGATGGGTCAAGTCCTTGGGTTCCTGGCTCCTGGCTTTGGATCAGCTCAGCCCTGGTTTTGTGGCCATTTGGGGAGTAGATTAGCCGATGGAAGATTTCTTTCCTTCTCTCTATAAATCTGCCTCTCAAAACTAAATCTTAAAAGGGGGGTGGGTAAAATGAAAAATAAAAGGGAATTCTCTCCCAAACCTGTGATTGTGCTTTAGAGTGAGATATTTTTTTAGTCCTCAATTTTTCATATTCAGACATTCAGCAGGGAAACAAAGATTAAGGGAAAAACATCTTCAAAAAAATTTAATACAATGGAAAAGAAAATCACACACAAACTATTGATGCTATGTTGCGATCAGGCCTGTTGAACCTGGTGTGAACTAGATTCCCTGAGGCCACAGAATCCCTGAGGCCCTGGGTGAGTCTGGGAAGGCTTGTTTAAGGAAGCTGAGACAGTTTGTCCTGAGGAAAAGAAGATAGTATTGTAGCTAAGGAGTGGCAAAGGCAGGAAGGAGAAAACTGCTTGTTTTCAGAAACAATGGATAAATATAAAGAGAGTAGGGAAAAATGTGGGAGGAGATTCAGGCACAGACTAGCTTGAGGGGAGCTTTGTTGTGCTAAGAATTTGACAGGATCTTTCCTTGGGGACTACTAAATAAGGAAGGGTCACCCTACCCTGGAGGACTAGAGACCAGGCAGTGGAACTGAATATTTGAATTAGAGTAGAGGTCAGGAGATAAGAAAGGGTAAAAAAGATGTTTTTAAACTAATAGATTAATAGGATTTGGTTTTGATCCAAACATTGTTAGGACCTGTTGTCTGATTAGATGTAGAGTATGGATGGGAAGGGATGTGAATGAATCTTAGACTTTGAGGTTGGAAAAGGAAAACGGGGGCTTAGGCACAGAGGCCCAAACCATTATTTGGATGTTCTGTGTCTCCAGCAGGGTGGCCACTTCACACCCAGCTTCCTGCTGATGCAACTGGGAAGGCAGCAGATGCTGGCCCAAGTGCCCATGTGGTAGATCCAAATGGGATTTTGAGCTTTGGCTTGGGTCAGCCCTGGCTGTTGGAGGTATCTGGAGAGTAAATCTCCAGATGGAAGATCTATTTCTCTTCCTCTCACACTCTGCCTTTCAAATACATGTTAAACAAAGAATAAAACAAGACCAACGGACAGCACGTTTGGAAGTGAGCTGGAGAAGAGCTTTAAGAATTCTTTGGTTGTGTGCATATAGGTGAAGATGTTTTTTGCATGACACCAGCTTTGGCTGGAAAATGAGAGGTTTCTGAGTTAGGAGTGGACTGAGTCATTATCAGGCAATATTTGATTTTGGTTCATTGTCTGGCTGAAAGAAAAAGTAGAGAAAAGAATATAGATGGATGTGCTGTGTAACAACAGATAATTCAATTGAAAAGTGTCAGAAAATATTCTATATTTTCATTCTTACTGTGGTTCCTGCTGCAAGTCTATCTTTTGTTCTACCTTTATTTTTAATATTTGAAAGGCAGTTACAGAAAGAAGATACAGAATCTAGCACCTGCCTATTTAGTACCTAAATAGCCTCAGTGGCCATGGCTGGACCAAGCTGAAGCCAGGAGCCCAAAGCTTCCTCCCCTGTTTCCCACATGGGTGCAGGGACTTCAGCCACCTGCTGCTGCCTTCCCAGGAGCCATCAGCAGGGAAACCAAATGGGAACTGGAACAGCCAAGTCCTCAACCAGTGTCCAAATGGAATGCCAGCGTCATAGGCAGAAGCTTAGCCTACTGTGTCCCATAGCAGCTCTGTTTTCCCTTCTTTGTTCTACCTTTGCAGAGAGGGGACTTGTGCCTAAGTTTCCCACACTGTAATCATCCTTTCCTAACTGGGATGATGACTACTTGATTAGCATTTCACCTACCACATCAAGTTCTATGGTCGCACACGTACCAGGAGGCTGGCTGTGACCTCAGAAAAAGTAGGTTTCAGAGTAGATCAAGGTGCCAGTTCTACATGTAGATTTCCCAGAGCTTCAGTTCCTAACTATAGTGGGGAATAGTAACAAGAGGAATTAGTGGTCACAGGTCACCACTGGTGCTGAGAAAACATGTTAGTACTTTCTAAGAGTACTCTGGTATGAAAGAGCAGGGAGTAGGAAGGGGAACAGCTTCTGTGCCAGGTGTTTGTTCCAACAGTGTTTTTTATACATTTTCATTTAACTCCTTAATTCTCACAGTCCAATTAGATGTCAGAGTGAGAGAGCAAGCATAGTGGTTGGGATGGCTGTTCTGGCAGCGTGGGCTAAGCTGGCCCCCAGGGACACATGCAACCCCACACTGGAGTGCTAGTGGATTCCACTGTACTTGGTTTCCAATCCAGCATTCCTCCTGGGAGCCAATGGATGATGGCCCAAGTGGCCACTGTTCCCACCACCCACCTGGGAGATCTGGGCCCAACTGCCTTTAATGCTGTCATTGTGAGAGTGAACCAGCAGATGGAACTCTGTCTCTTCCTCTCTCTGCCAATCTGCCTTTCAAACAAATGAAAAAGAGAACTTTTTTTTTTAATGATGTTTTAAAAGCCTTGGTGCATTTAAAAATCTTGGCATTTTATAACGGGTAAACTAAGGCAGTCATCAGATAGTATCAGTTTGGATTAGAAATTAAAACGGCTGGTGAGATTAGGTTTACGATAATCCTTCTGGCCTCCAAGATTTAGCAGCATAAAAGGACTCTCGAGCTATTTCTCCTACCATCATCCCGTATTTTTCCCTGAATGACTTTTGCTCCTCCCTGAGAAAGACTGGTTTTTGTAAACAAGTCCACCCTAAGTAGTTAGAATGTTTCAATCTTTTCAGTAACATTCAGTTCCCTTTGTTAACACGCTGCAATCCTGTGGAGCACTGGGAGGCTGCACAAGTCACACTTCACCACGGTTTACTTAGGCCTGAGTTACATTTCAACATTCTCAGTCCCCCTCCCCTATCCCCCACGCCCGCCGCTGGCACTTAGCATGCACTCAATAAAATGCTCCAAGTATGAATGAACGAAAGAACTGCCGAACAGAGACGCCGAGAGGTGTGGAACTGGGAGTTCCAAAGTTCGGGAGGGGACAAGGGGGCGGGCAGAAGCTGTCACGTGACGGGGTGGGGTAAGCCCCATGTGCTCCGCTGCGCCGGCGTCCGGCGTGGCTCCGCCTCCTGCGCCGGTCACGTGGGTGCGCCGGCTGCGCCTGCGGAGAAGCGGTGGCCGCCGAGCGGGATCTGTGCGGGGAGCCGGAAATGGTTGTGGACTACGTCTGTGCGGCTGCGTGGGGCTCGGCCGCGCGGACTGAAGGAGACTGAAGGTAAAGCCGCCATGTCCGGGCCCGACCCGGCCCCCCCACCCCCTCCCCCCGCATCCGCCGCCATCCGGGCCGGGACCGGCCACCCTGCACCGCCGCCCCGACGCCCTGGCCCCGCGGCCCGAGCTCGGGCCCCTGCCCGCCCAGGGCTCGATCCCCGGCCCACGTGTGTCCGGCCTGGCCGGGCCTGGCTGCTGGGTGGGGGTGGGGAGCGTGGGGCCCCGCGGGGCTGGGTGGGCTCCGGGTTCGCCGGCCGCAAAATGCCACTCGGGCCCGACCCGAGGAGGCCCGGCGGCCCGCGGACGCAGGCACCGCGGCCCCAGGCCCGCCGCCCCCCCTTCGCGGCCGGGCCGCCTGGAAGTGACACGTTGTTCTTTGGCACTGGCCGGCGCTGCGCAGGGAGGGCGCAGGGGAGGGAGGCGGCGGGCAGGGAGGAGCCCCCGGCCCCGCCCGCCCTCCGGGCAGACCCTCGCGTTGCTTGAAACCGGCTCGCCGCCGCCCACCTGGTCTTTTATAAAGCCCGACTCCCGCCCTGCCTTGGCCTGCGCTCCTGGGCTGCAGCAGCGGCAGGCCTCGCCTCTGGCCCCGCGGCGCGGGTGCCCCTGCGGCAGGAGTCATTTTTCTGCGCCCCTGGGCCAGGCCCCGAACCCGGTGTCCCCGGGTGGGGGTTGGGGTGGGGACACCACGGCTGAAGCTGCTAGCTCCGTGTGTGATCCGGGAGCCTGGTGCCAGCGAGACCTGGAATTTCCGGTCTGGTTGGTCTGGGCCCCGTGGAGCCAGGTTGATACCCCTCACCTCCCAACCCCAGGCCCTCGGATGCTCAGAACCTGTAGGCCGCACCGTGGACTTATTCTTAACCGAAGGGGTGAGTGAGAGGGGGCCCTTGCAGCAGGTCAGGGTGGGGAGGTTGGGGGTAGTGTGGATTCGACAACGTTGTTGGTGGGGTGGGGACATGCACAGCCAGAGTGTTTTTTCTGCTCTTCCTCTCTTGCCACCTCCAGCGGCAGCGCTTTGCGTTGGACCCAACCCTTGCTTCAACCCTTCCTCCCTTCCCCGCCCCCTCCAACTCCCATAGCTTGGGTCTCTTCCCCTTTGCAAGCTTCATTCTTTCCCAACAGGTGCTGGGGGGACCCTGATGTGGCACCAAATGAAATGAACAAAGCTCCACAGCCCACAGGCCCCCCGCCCGCCCCATCCCCTGGACTCCCACAGGTAATTAGAGAGGAATTAGCTGGGATGGGGGTGGGGGAGACCAGGTTCCCGCCCGCGTGTGTCAGAAACAGGTTCCAGCATCGGGATTTTCCCACCCCCATCCCTGTCAGGGCAAAGTGCAGCTGCCAGCTGCCAAATGGAGACAGGTCCCCTTGGCTGTCCCCAGGGGCTGTCATGGGGAGGGGGTATGTGGATTGCTGAGGTTCTTGCTGAAGGTCTGCTCCCCTGACTTCACCCGTGTGGGTTCCAGCCCTACCCTGGCTTCCCCTCTTGCTGAACTATGGTCTCCCCCCACCTCCTTCAGCCTGCGTTTCCCCCGGGGCAGACAGCACCGGTGGTGTTCAGTACGCCACAAGCAACACAAATGAACACGCCTTCTCAGCCCCGCCAGGTGAGGGGCCGCTGGGAGGGGAGTAGGGGACCTGGGTAGCAGCTGGGAGGGGAACTGTGGAGACTGTGTGCTCTGCCAGTTTCCAGGCAGTTGATCTGTTTTCTGGCCTGAGGCTCTGCCACTGAGTACTGTTGGTTACTTGGTGGCTGGCCCCTTGGGGAGAAGGTTGTCCTTGAGAGGGGCACACTGGGGGCCTAGCGCCTGTGGAAATTGGGGTAGTGCTTTGGCCCCTGCTGCCAACCCTTTCTTTCCTGGTTCTTTTCCTGGGAGGTGGTCATTGCCCTGTTCCCTTCCCTGCCTTCTGTTTTGGACTAGGGCAAGATAAATGCTCGAGCTGGTTTTTTGCCTTTTTCTGTTCCTCCAGTTCTTTCTCACTAAGCGGGAGGACTCTTGTCCCACTGCTTTGGGTTTTCTAACCCCTCATCACCCTGGGGGTAATTCTCTTCTTTCCTGTCCCCATGTGCTCTCAGGGAGGATTCAGGTCTCTGCAGGTAAAACCCCTTTTCTAATCTGGACCATCTCCTGGTCTCATTTTCACCCTCATCCCTACCTAGTCAGGCTACAGACAGGGGTTGGGAGTTTTTGGGGTCATACTTTATGCTGATTGGGTCCCTAGTTTCAGTGATGCATGTTAGGGGCTGAATTCTGAAGAGGGTATGCGGGAACTGGGAGACCTGCATGTTGGCTATTAGCTCCTCAGGATCTCAGGCAGAGTAGTGCATGCTGGGGAGGGAGGGTGTCCTTGAAAGGGCCCTTCCTGGGCATGCTGCATCTAAGAGGGGTCAGGAAGCCCCTCAGAGGGTTGTGTGGTGGAGGTTCCGTGAGGATGCGTGGCAGTGAGGATAAAAGCACACACCCAACACCAGCTGTTCTTCTGAGTTTGGAGGGCTTATTGAGTACAGGAGGCTACCCATCAAGTGTATTTTGGAAGGGTTGGTGCTCATGCTTAGAACCCCACAGTACAGTACTTCTTTTCCAGACCAGAGAGACATGGCGGAGGGACCTGATTTGCTGCACGCTTTCTTTCTCAGTGTCAACTTCCTCTCTCCTCCCTCCTGACAGCACTTCTATGCTAGCCGGGCCCAGCCCCCGAGCAGTGCAGCCTCCCGAGTGCAGAGTGCAGCCCCTGCCCGCCCTGGCCCAGCTGCCCATGTCTACCCTGCTGGATCCCAAGTAATGATGATCCCTTCCCAGATCTCATACCCAGCCTCCCAGGGGGCCTACTACATCTCTGGACAGGTGAGGCTGGAGGCTTGGGAGCCCTCGCCCTCCCTTGCCCCAATTCCCTTGACCTGTCTTTTTGTTAGAGATGGGACTTCTGCTCATTGCCCAGAATTGGCTTGTCCTGTCTTGCCCTGTGTTCTGTCTGTAGTCTGGTATGGTAGCTTCCTTAACTCCTCTTCGCTCTTCTCTCTTCCCCACCCAGGGGCGTTCCACATATGTTGTCCCGACACAGCAGTACCCTGTACAGCCAGGAGCCCCAGGCTTCTATACAGGTGCAAGCCCTACAGAATTTGGGACCTATGGTAAGCAAGAGAGGGAGTGAGAGGTGAGAGTGCGTCTCAGGGAACCGGAAAACACCCACTGCTTCCTAAAGCCCAAGACTCTTGTCATTGTCAGACTTGGCTTGGGGACTAAAAATAATAGGGTTAGTAGTAGGGATTGGTGGATTAGTGCTTAATGGTTAACTGGTGTTGGTGGAGATCAAGGCTTGACTCTGTTGCCAAGGGGTTTGGGAGTCCTTGTGTTGAGGAACGTAGGCCCAGGGTGCAGATTTAGAACAGCCTGTTAGACTTTTTTGCGGTGGTCTTTCCATGGTGGTGGTGGGAGGAGGGATTGGCATGCAACATGGATTTGTGGCTACTTTTCATTTGTATTCTAGGAGAGGATTAGTCTGTTCTTTATGGCAGTGGTTTCCAAAATGTTTTTGATCACCTATCAGGAAAAAGTTTGAGTATGTACTTTAATGCATGTATGTTTCTTTGTATATCTGTATGCATAATTTCATTGTAATGTTTGTGATGCTTGGGAAAACCAAGTGTAAATCATGAATGAGATTAAAGAATTGATCCCACTTTGGAGACCATTGCTTTAAGGAATTACTTTTTGGGGGGTTCCTTCATAATGTTACCTTTTGTTTCTTTGCTGCTTTGCAAAGGGCCAGATACTGCAACTAGGCTAAGGTTGAGTTGAACAGGCTTAGCAAATCATTTGCTTCCTAGCCAGGCTGTCTGTTTCAGGTTCAGAGTAGTATGTGTTGTTGTGGGTGGGATACATACACAAGAGTACCTTGGAAGGTAGAGAAGACCTTGGCTCTGCTGGTCAGTAGCTAGCATGTCATGTGAAGGAGTGCCTGCTTACGGCATGTGTGTGTCTGTGTCAGTCAGTGTCAGGAATTCTTGTAAACGCAGTTTAGACTGGTTCCCCAGCTTTGACAGACACCTAATTCCCTGGGGGAGGAGGGCAGGGCAGGGCAGTGGGCAGGCTGTGAGTGATGAGAGGTTCTGAGGGTGGGAGGTGTTTGAGCATTAGTATATGGTTGAACCCGGACGCTGCCACCATTCTTCTTTTTGTCCCCTCCCCCAAGCTGGCGCCTACTATCCGGCACAAGGTGTGCAGCAGTTTCCTGCTGGTGTGGCCCCTGCTCCGGTTTTGGTGAACCAGCCACCCCAGATTGCTCCAAAGAGGGAGCGAAAAACGGTGAGTGACAGCAGACGCTCTGGGGAGGGTCTAGGAAATTGTGAGTGGAGGTCAGGTACCCTGGGGCATTGGTAGGAAGGAGATCTTTAGCTGGGAGTAGGCGGAGACAGCGTGGGGGTATGTCTGGAATGCTCAGGTCTCTTTTTGAAAGACATTAGATTTGGGCATAGCTCATAGAAAGACTGATGTAACTGGAGTCAGTTCCCTGGGACCCGTGGGCTCTGGAGGCCCATCGGAACTCTGTTGGACTCTGGGTTTCTGGTGGCTTGATTTGAAAGTAGTTTGTTTTGTATGACCCCACCCCCCACTCTCAGTCCTGGAAGCTCTCAGGCCTCCGCCTCTGCTCAGTCCTCAAGCCCTGGGCGTGGTGCCCAGAATAGGGTGCCAGTGCTGGGGAAGCCGCTGAGTCACCCTGGCTCCACCCACTGGATCTGGGCCCTGCCCCCAGAGATCAGGCCGACTAGCCACAAGTGAGCCTGGCTAGGTGCTTGATGGGGGTCCTGCGGCTCAGGGTGTGCAGGCACTGACTTGGGGATTGCTAGTGGGGCAGGGATGAGGGAGGGAGGGGCATTATGATGTACAGGCTGCTCTGTGAGGTCAAAAGTCTCTTGTGGGTGGGGGCTAGGGCAGGGACTACAAGAGCAGCTAGATGGGTTGACAGTAGAACTCATGGGGTTTCTGGCACCCACCCACCTGCTGCCCAGTGGGGGGGTGAGGGGTTGACCTAGAGTCCCAGCAGTGGGGCAGGGTGGAGAGGGGTTTCCTCCTGCTTCCCTCTCATCCCATAGCTTTCTTTCCTCAGATCCGAATTCGAGATCCAAACCAAGGAGGGAAGGATATCACGGAGGAGATAATGTCAGGGGCCCACACTGCCTCTACACCCACCCCTCCCCAGGTATTGTCTGCTGTTTGAGTGGTACCTTGCCTGGGATTGGCTATGCTTGCCTGGATTCCCAACTCCCTCAATCTTTTCCTTCAACTAAGGGATTTATTTCCCTGCTTTCCTGGATTTCTAGGCAGAGCTAAAGTAGAAATGGCTCTAGTAAAGAAGGGTTGTGGGACTCTTCAGTGCAAACTTGGTAACCCTTTGTGTCCTGCAGACGGGAGGCGGTTTGGAGCCCCAGGCTAATGGGGAGTCGCCCCAGGTTGCTGTCATAGTCCGGCCAGGTAAGTAAGTGGAGTGAGGTGGAGCCTTCCTGGGAAAAGGAATGTGATAGTTTAAAACTGCTGAGGTGTGGTAGGGCTGAATTGAATGGTGCTGGATAGTGGCATGGGTTTCAGGTGATGGGATTGTAGGGGTCAGTTTTATTTTGGATGAGAAGGGGAAAATGTTTGGGTGGGAGATGCTTTGGCTGAGGGGAGGAGCACCAGCACAGAAGGACTTGCTTTTAGTTACTCACTCTTCCTTCCTATGGCACAGATGACCGGTCGCAAGGAGCAATCATGGGAGGCCGGACAGTACTGCCTGGCCCAGAGCACAGCCCTTCAGAATCCCAGCCTTCGTCACCTTCCCCGACCCCGTCCCCACCCCCAATCTTAGAACCAGGCTCTGAGCCTAATCTTGCGGTCCTCTCTATTCCTGGGGACACTATGACAACGGGGATGATACAGATGCCTGTGGAAGAATCAACCCCCATCTCCCGTGAAACAGGGGAGCCATATTGCCTCTCTCCAGAACCTGCTCCTCTCGCTGAACCCATACTGGAAGTTGAAGTGACACTGAGCAAACCAATTCCAGTATCTGAGTTCTCTTCCAGTCCTCTCCAGGTTCTCTCCCCTCCGGCATCTCACAAAATGGAAATTCATGAGCCTAATGGCGTGGTCCCCTCTGAGGCTCTGGAACCAGAGGTGGAGTCAAGCACAGAGCTCGCCCCTCTCCCCCCTGCAGCTTGCCCCTCCGAATCCCCTGTGCCTATTGCTCCAACTGCCCATCCTGAGGAACTGCTCAATGGAGCCCCCTCACCACCAGCTGTGGACTTAAGCCCAGTCAGTGAGCCTGAGGAACAGACCAAGGAGGATACAGTGTCTCCAGCTCCCTCTGCCGGTCCCTCTGCCACTCCAGCCACAGCTTCCCCAGTTACTTCCCCTGCTCAGGAGGAGGAGATGGAAGAAGAGGAAGAGGAGGAGGAAGGAGAAATGGGAGAAGCAGAGAGTGAGAAAGGAGGAGAAGAATTACAAGGCCCAGAGAGCACCCCTGTCCCTGCCCCCTTACCCCAGAGTGTGGAGGCAGTCACTGCCACCCAAGGTAAAGTGGCTGGATGGTGAAGTTTGGGGCTGGGCGGTGAGAGTAAGTCTTCTGTTTGGCTGATGACCTGTGCATGTCATGTGTCTGGGTCACAGAAGCCTGTGATGGCACGGCACCTGAGAGCTACAGGAAGGACTTTATAAAGCCTAGACAGGGTGATGTGAAGAGAAAATTGCATCCTGGATTGCCTTTTAATTTTTCCTGGCATTAGCTGTACTCCTTGAGATTATTTCCATCCCTGATTTGCTTCTTTCTCAATTAGTGGCAGTATCTGTGCCAAAGAGAAGACGGAAAATTAAAGAGCTAAATAAGAAGGAGGCTGTGGGAGACCTTCTAGATGCCTTCAAAGAGGTAAGGAAGCACAAAGTAGGAGAGGTGAAACTGGTCATTTCCTTCTGCAATCAAAACTGGATTGTGCTATGGTTCCAGGTTAACCCGGCAGTGCCAGAGGTGGAAAATCAGCCTCCTGCAGGCAGCAATCCAGGCCCAGAGACTGAGGGCAGCAGCGCGCCCTCCCGGCCTGAAGAAGCAGATGAGACCTGGGATGCAAAAGAAGACAAAATTCACAATGTGGAAAACATCCAGCCTGCGGGGGAACAGAAGTATGAGTATAAGTCAGGTATGCTGGAAAGGAGGGTGAAGAAGGGCTGGTCATTCTTGGTAGAGTGTCAGGAGCTGAGAATATATCAGTACTTCATCCTCTCATCTTGCAGATCAGTGGAGGCCTCTAAACCTTGAGGAGAAAAAGCGTTATGACCGTGAGTTCCTGCTTGGCTTTCAATTCATCTTTGCCAGTATGCAGAAGCCGGAGGGATTGCCCCATATCAGTGATGTGGTGTTGGACAAGGTTGGTGGTTTGAGGAGGATGGGGGGGGGGGAGGTTGGGTGGATTAGGGAGGAGCCTGAGGACCTCAGAGGGTAACCAGGAACCCCAGCCCCCTCCATGAGGCTTTCCATCTTCTCTTCGCAGGCCAATAAAACACCACTACGGCCGCTGGATCCCTCTAGACTATCAGGCATAAATTGCGGCCCAGACTTCACTCCATCCTTTGCCAACCTTGGTCGACCAGCTCCTAGTGGCCGTGGTCCCCCCAGGGGTGGGCCAGGTGGGGAGCTGCCCCGAGGGCCGGTGAGTAGGGCTGGCTGGAGGCCCAGCTGGGTAAGGGAGGGGTGTGGAGTGGGAACAAGTCAGCCATGATGTCTCGTGTGCTGAATAGTTGTGTCTTTATCTTATGTTTAGCAGGCTGGCCTGGGACCCCGGCGCTCTCAACAGGGCCCCCGAAAGGAGCCCCGTAAGATCATTGCCTCAGTGATAATGACAGAAGATATAAAACTGAACAAAGCTGAGAAAGCCTGGAAACCCAGCAGCAAGCGTACAGCAGCTGATAAGGATCGAGGGGAGGAGGATGCTGATGGCAGCAAAACCCAGGTACTGGCAAGTCTTGCTTCTGGTGTTCCTGCTCCTCCGATTTGCCTGCAAAGCTGCCTTTGCCTGCTCCATCTGACCTTAACCACTTAGCACCTGCCAAAAAGCCCCTACACTGTCCTGCCTCACTGGATCTTTGTCCACTCTCCTCGCCAGGACCTGTTCCGCAGGGTGCGCTCTATCTTGAATAAGCTGACACCCCAGATGTTCCAGCAGCTGATGAAACAGGTGACACAGCTGGCCATTGACACCGAGGAACGCCTCAAAGGGGTCATTGATCTTATCTTTGAGAAGGCCATCTCCGAACCCAACTTTTCAGTGGCCTATGCCAACATGTGCCGCTGCCTCATGGCGGTTAGTTTTCTGCTTTTCTCGGTTTCATGGTCCGGTTTCCCGTTTTGGTTCCCAAGACACTGAGGGGTTGGAGGGAGGATGTGGGAGTTGAGGCCAGAGGTCTGCAGGCAGCATAGGGAGCACACCAAAGCATAGCAGCTCATGGCCAAGGGCAGACTTGGATTACTACCCTTGCCTCGAGCTAGACTAAATGTGACATTCTTCTTACTGGCAGCTGAAAGTGCCCACTACAGAAAAACCAACAGTGACTGTGAACTTCCGAAAATTATTGTTGAATCGGTGTCAGAAGGAATTTGAGAAAGATAAGGATGATGATGAGGTTTTTGAAAAAAAACAAAAGGAGATGGATGAAGCTGCTACGGTGAGAAAATTTACCTCAAGTTTGCAAATTTACCTCAAGTTTGCGGTCTAATCACTGCCTTCCTCCTCCCCCCCCACCCAAGTTATGCTTGGAGTTTGGGATAAGCCTAGGTGGGGTGGAGATTGTAGTATCTTGAATAAGTTCGTCTTCCTCAGGACATGAATACTTGTGGTTAGATTTGGCTGTCTAGACAACAGAGGAGAAGGATTTTAGTTGAGTATTTGGATATGTTTAATCATCCCTGTCCCTTGACTGGCAGGCAGAGGAACGGGGACGCCTGAAGGAAGAGCTGGAAGAAGCTCGGGACATCGCACGGCGGCGCTCCTTAGGGAATATCAAGTTTATCGGGGAGTTGTTCAAGTTAAAGATGTTGACGGAGGCCATAATGCATGACTGTGTGGTCAAACTACTTAAAAACCATGATGAAGAGTCCCTAGAATGCCTTTGTCGACTACTTACTACCATTGGCAAAGATTTGGATTTTGAAAAAGCCAAGGTAGGGAATCTTGGCTTTTGATGGGGAGGACCTGAGCCACACATCCCCGCCCCGCCCATCGTTCCCTAATGAGCTGCTGAGGGCCTGTAGTTGGTCATGAGGTGCTGAAACTCCTGGACCTGTTTTTTTTGTTTTGTTTTGTTTTTTTTTGCTTCTCACTAGCCCCGAATGGATCAGTACTTCAACCAGATGGAAAAAATCATTAAGGAAAAGAAGACTTCATCCCGCATCCGCTTCATGTTGCAGGATGTGCTAGATCTACGACAGGTGTGTGTCTCCTCCTTAGAAGTTTCTGTATTTATGGATGCTGCTTTGTCTGGCTGCCCCTGACAATTGTGCCTGGCCTCCTATCCCCACAGAGCAATTGGGTGCCACGGCGAGGGGATCAGGGTCCCAAGACCATTGACCAGATCCATAAGGAGGCTGAAATGGAGGAGCATAGGGAGCACATCAAAGTGCAGCAGCTCATGGCCAAGGGCAGTGACAAGCGCCGGGGTGGCCCTCCTGGCCCACCCATCAGTGAGTCTGAGGCTGGGATTAAGGAGGGAGCAGTGAAGGAATCTAAGGGCATGCTTCCACTGATGACTTTCTGTTAGTGCCACGTGTCTGGGCCACTGAGTCCTCATGATGGAACTGAGGATCTGAGGAAGAGAAGGTGGGGATTCCCAAGGGGATGGGGCTGTTAGAATTTGCTTGTTATAGCAGTGTGACTTCTTCGTCTCAGGCCGTGGCCTTCCACTTGTGGACGATGGTGGCTGGAATACAGTCCCAATCAGCAAAGGCAGCCGTCCTATTGACACCTCACGACTCACCAAGATCACGAAGGTAAGGGGTTATGCTGTATGGTCAAGCAGGCATGAAGCTCACTTTGGCTCTTGGTCACCTTGCTTTCCTAAGATTGGGGAAGTGATGGCTGAATCTTCTCTCTTAGACTAACTGGTTAAGATGTTGGAGCTAGGACTACTGGCTCTAAGGAATATATTCACATTGGTCAGAAAATGGCCAGCTAAGTGCCACACATACCAGTTCTAGCCTTTTGCCTGCTTTTGTGTATTCTGTGAGCCAAGAATGGTTTTTACATTGTAAATGATGGAGAAAAATCAAAAGTAGAGTGTTTTACTACGTACAAGTAATGAAGCTTAAAATTTGACTGTCCATAGACGCTGTATTGGAATGCAGTTGCATTCATTCCCTGAAGTATCACCTGCAGCTACAAGCATGCTACAGTGGCTGCAGTAGAGACTTGGCAAGGCTGTCTGACCTTTTCACAAAAACGATTTGCATGATCCCCGGTCTGGGCCTCACTATCTGTGTGACAGTGTGTGGGGATGCTGGTTAAGAGCTTTGGCCAAGCCAGGCCTGTAACTGTACCCCCTCTCTTTCCCCAGCCTGGCTCTATTGATTCTAACAATCAACTCTTTGCACCTGGAGGGCGCCTCAGCTGGGGCAAAGGCAGTAGCGGAGGGTCAGGAGCCAAACCTTCAGACGCAGGTATGGAGGCTGCTCTGTGGAGCTGTGTGGTTACAGTCTGGGCTCCCCTGGAGGCAAAGTGTTATAGGGGAAGCTTTCAGTTCAAAGGTTATCCAAGAGATACATACGTGATTCAGAGGTGGAACTCCTTTATTTTGGCCCTGGGACAAACCGTCGTTAATGGCAAGTAGGGGAGAGAATTGAAGCAACCAGAAGATATCTTAATTAGAGCTTTCTTTATTTTCCTTCCTAGCATCAGAAACTTCACGTCCAGCAACTAGTACCTTGAATCGCTTCTCAGCCCTTCAGCAGGCAGTACCCACAGAAAGCACAGATAACAGGCGTGTGGTGCAAAGGTGAGAGCTCATGCTTGTCATCTGAGTACGGCAGCTGGGTTTCACTTGTTGCTATAGGATAGGGATTCCTTAAGCCTGGAGCCCCTGGCTGAGAGGCTCAGACTGGGCATATTCCTAATGCCAGGAATGCCACCCAGCATACTCTGCATGTAGGATCATTATCAGCAAGTTGTCTGGGCAGTACAGGTGAGAAGTGGCGTGTTGTCCATTTTTCTTACAGGAGTAGCTTGAGTCGAGAGCGAGGCGAGAAAGCTGGGGACCGGGGAGATCGCCTAGAGCGAAGTGAACGGGGAGGTGACCGAGGAGACCGGCTAGATCGTGCACGGACGCCAGCCACCAAACGGAGCTTCAGCAAGGAGGTAGAAGAACGGAGTAGAGAACGGCCCTCCCAGCCTGAGGGACTGCGCAAGGCAGCTAGTCTCACAGAGGATCGGGACCGAGGCCGGGATGCTGGTGAGACTGGAAAAAAAGGGTGTGAGGAGGGTGCTGTCTGGCTTTGGTTCAACTGGTCTGCAGTTGTCTTGGGAGCTCCAGATTGTTTACTAGGGAAGAGTGGAGCTGAAGAGTTAGTCTGTTTTCTTACTGCAGTGAAGCGGGAAGCTACCCTGCCCCCTGTGAACCCGCCAAAGGCTACACTCTCTGAGGAGGAGCTGGAGAAGAAGTCCAAGGCCATCATTGAAGAATACCTCCATCTCAATGACATGAAGGTAGGTGACACAGGGTTGCAGGGGAGGGGATGTGTGGATGTGTGATGGATTGCACATCGAGAGACTTGGAGGTGGCAGCTTCTTGTTCAGACAGTGACCCCTTCTTCCCCATGCCCTTTGCCCCTCAGGAGGCAGTACAGTGTGTCCAGGAGCTAGCCTCACCTTCCTTACTCTTCATCTTCGTGCGGCATGGCATCGAGTCCACACTGGAGCGTAGTGCCATTGCTCGTGAGCATATGGGGCAGCTGTTGCACCAGCTGCTCTGCGCTGGACACCTCTCCACTGCTCAGTACTACAAAGGGTATGATTGATTGCTCTGGACATATCCACAATTCCTGTCTTTTGTGTTGGATCCATGGAATCTCACATCAGAGTATAGCCTCCAACATCTCTGTAAATGTTGCTTTGGGAGGAGGGGAATGGCAATCACCCTCAACCATCTAAGACAAGAAGAAGGTGGTCTTAACTTGAAGAGTTACCCCATATCTTTTATTATTTTTTTATTGGCAAGTCATATGTACAGAGAAGGAGACACAGATTTTTTTTGTCTGCTGATTCACTCCCCAAGTGGCTGCAACGGCCGGAGCTGAGCCAGTCCGAAGCCAGTATCCTGGAACCTCTTCCAGGTCTCCTGTGCGAGTACAGGATCCCAAGGCTTTGGGTTCTCAACTGCCCTCCCAGGCCGAGAGCTGGGAGCCAGATGGAAAGCGGAGCTGCCAGGATTAGAACCAGCGCCCATATGGGATCCCGGCACATTCAAGGCGAGAACCTTAGCCGCTAGACCACCATATCAGGCCCAGTTACCCCATATCTTAAAAAGTGTCCTTGGGGAACTCTGTAGTAGATCCTTGCTTTGTTGTTCCAGAAGAGGCTAGGGGCCTGATTTGCCTCTCCAGAGTGCTGAGTTGGAATTCGTTTTTGCAGGCTATATGAAATCCTAGAATTGGCTGAGGATATGGAAATTGACATACCCCATGTGTGGCTTTACCTGGCAGAACTGGTAACACCCATTCTGCAGGAAGGTGGTGTGCCCATGGGGGAGCTGTTCAGGTAAGTCCCTCTTGGAATTTGGAGGAGGGTAAAGACTGGTGGAAAGGGATTAAAGGAAGAAGAAGGTATGGGAGATTGGGTGCCTGAGTTGTGGAAGCTGGCAGCAGTGTTTGTTTTTTGCTGTTTTTTCCTTCTATTCTAGGGAAATTACAAAGAATCTGAGACCCCTGGGCAAAGCTGCTTCCCTGTTGCTGGAGATCCTGCGACTCCTGTGCAAAAGCATGGTGAGTGACTATGTTTGGGGTTCCTCCTCCTGCCTGGTGTGGCTGCTTGTGGTGGTTCTGAAGCCTTCATGGTTCTTTGATGGGATGGAGTCATGGTGAGGGCAGGACTGTGCTGGTACTCAGAGGAGGAGGAAAAGGGAAGCGGGCAGTATACTTCAGATTACTTCCTGTCATGTAGGAAGTAGTCTTTTTCTGGCCATGCTGGGCAAGAAAGGCAGTCTAGAACCCTAGGTTGGTGATTGACTTATTATTCACATTTTCAACTAGCACTTCTTTGCTTATGATGTACTAAACACTGGGATACAGCAGAGGATAGGAAACAAATTGATAGGGTGAACATTTGGCTTAGTGATTAAAATGCTCATGTCCCATGTTGAATGCTGGGGTTTAGGTCATCTACGTGGGAAATCTAGATTGTGATCCCACCTCGTGAGTCTCCAGCAGCCCAGCCCAAGCTGTATGGGGCATTTGGAAAGTGAACCAGCAAATGAAAGGTTTTTCTGTGTCTTTCTCAAGTAAATAATTCTTTTTTAAAAAAGCGCCAGTATTGAGTAAGTAAAATTGTCGAAAAGGAGTTTTGAGAAGGTTGCACATAAGCATTTGCAGTGTTCATGCCAGCAAGCTTTCTTTGAAGGTCACTGGAGACTGTACTATGAAATTTATGGTGATGAGTGAGTGTAAAGGTGGCAGGATGGGGAAAGGCAGTTTAGGTGTGGTAGTGAGGAACCAGAAAGTGTAGTTTCAAAAGATTTTGGTTATCTGGTACCTGGAGAAAAGAGGCTAAAAGGACTTGGTATTTCAGCATCATGATCTGTTGATAAACATGTATTCCAAGGCATTTTCTGTTTATAATTAATAATTGGCATATGTACACTATTTATGTACATACAGTCCTCGACTTAACAGTGGTTTCAATTTAGGATTTTTCAGTTTTATGATAGGATTTTCAAGGTGTTGTTTTTTTCAGATTAGGATATTTTTGACTTAGAATGGATTTTCTTAAATGTTACCCGTGTCATAAGTCAAGGAGCATCTATTATTCATAAATTCTAAGGTGCCGTGGATTAGAAGATTTATTATTTACTAACAAAAGACCTTCTATTTCTAAAGTGCAATATAACTATAATAATGTTTTTTAAAATATGAAAAAATGCATTAGGATAAATGAATTATGGCCTTGTTATTGGATGGTGTCATCACTCTTACAAAAAGTCCTGTGGGGTCTCTTTTGCTCCCTAGAGAAAATGAGCTCAGATTGTTACTTTTTGTTTTGTTTATTTATTTATTGTTAGTGCAAGTTCAGATATATGGAGAGGAGGAGAGACAGAGAGGACGATCTTTCATCTCATGGTTCACTCCCTAAGTGGCTGCAATGACTGGAGCTGAACCAATCTGAAGTCAGGAGCCAGGAGCTTCTTCTGGGTCTCCCATTAGGGTGCAGGGTCCCAAGGCTTTGGGCTGTCCTTGACTGCTTTCCCAGGGCACAGGCGGGGAGTTGGATGGGAAGCGGGGCTGCTGGGATACAAACCGGTGGCCCTTATAAGATCCTGGCATGTTCAAGGGCGAAGACTTTAGCTGCTAAGCTATTGTGCCGGGCCGAGATTGTTGTTTAAGATTCATTCCTTTCCATAAGCAAACACCTGCTTTATGGAATTATGAGAAGCCAGGCTTTTTAGATGGAGGTGACATTGGAAGAACAACAGGGAAAATATATAATCTGGTTATTTGTAGTTTTGAGGTCTTTTCCTTCACCCTAATGTTAGGATTATAGTGGACAAAAAAAATTCCTGCTTGTTGGATGCCTTTCCTCCATTGGACTTATAGGCATGGAAACATTGTGTCTGGGGTATCTCTGTCATCCTTAGCTTCTAATAGGTACTTAGTGGATTTTCAGCAAATAACCTACTGGATTATTGTTGAGCCATTGAGTCCTAGGAGAGGGTGGTGACTGAGTTGGTCTTGTGTTTTCCAGGGTCCAAAAAAAGTGGGGATATTGTGGCGTGAGGCTGGTCTCAGCTGGAAAGAATTTCTGCCTGAAGGCCAGGATGTTGGAGTATTTGTCACTGAACAGGTTTGGAACTGGAGTTGGGTTAATTTTAGCATTTGATATTCTGTCCAGTCTTCACCTAGTTGCCTCATGTGTTGAGTGGTAGGTCTTTATCACTTGACTGGGTCTTTTGGTTGCAGAAGGTGGAGTATACCCTAGGAGAGGAGTTAGAGACTCCTGGCCAGAAGACACTGTCTTGTGAGGAGCTGAGCAGGCAGCTGGAGAAACTGCTGAAGGAGGGGAGCAGTAACCAGCGGGTTCTCGATTGGATAGAGGTGTGTTTTTACTGATTGTGGTCAGAAGGGCACCCCTTCTTGGGGTGGCCTTGGGGGAGGCTGTGCAAAAGTGGGCCTAGGGCAAAATTTTGAACCTGTGAACCATTGTTTCTCCTATATAGGCCAACCTGAGTGAGCAGCAGCTAGCATCCAACACATTAGTTCGAGCTCTCATGACAGCTGTCTGCTATTCTGCAATTATCTGTAAGAGGGGTCAGGGGAGATGACTGGGGACAAGGGTAGACCTGACAGACAGATGGGAGGGAGTTCAGTTTTTAGCTCTAGGTCTGAAATAGATTATGACTGTCATTTCACTAATTCCTGCCTTCTTTCCTATAGTTGAAACTCCTCTCCGAGTGGATGTTCCGGTGCTGAAAGCGCGAGCAAAACTGCTACAGAAATATCTGTGTGATGAGCAGAAGGAGCTGCAGGCGCTCTATGCCCTCCAGGCCCTTGTAGTGACCTTAGAACAGCCTGCCAGTAAGAGCCAGGCCTCAGGGTTGGGTAGGGTAGGGTAGGGAGGGACTGCTGGATAGCAGAAAGTAGTCATGGAAGGGGATAATCTCTGGTGCAGTGCCTTGCTGTTTTGATTCCCTACCCCAGAGGTTGCTGCTCTGCTTACCAATGGAAAAAGTAACTGAAGGACTACCTGCATTTATCTGTTACACAGTATCTTATAGGGAATCACCATGTCATGTGCCCCCTCTGGTTCAGGGCTGGAGTGCCTTACCTTTTTCAGTTGCCACCATTGTTTAGGGTAGATAGATGGTGTTAACCCACTGTTTTCCATGTTGAGAGGTTGAGTCTGGGGTTACACATTGAACAGATAGCTGCTGTGTTTTGTCAGGGCATGGACTGTTCTCAGAGACTAGGGTCAGATGCCGTTCTCTTTCTGACATGAATGAGCTGAGGCGAGGGGGTCTCTGTCTGCTAGCACACCACTTTGAGGGGTGGTGACTGGGAAATGGGGTGCATGAAAAGTGGGAAATGGGAGGGAACTTTTAAGCAAAGGCTGTGTGTGTAAGGAAGGAAGGCCATGAGGTCAGGAGAATTTAACACAATGGAAGAGAGCTGTGGAAGAGTGCAGCTGCCTGTGGTGAATGGAGGCAGGAGGAGGTGGAGTGAGTTAACAGTGGCCAGGTTGTGCAGGGCTGCTGTCTTCATCCTGCCACAGTGACAGAGATGGTGGAATATGGTGAGTAACTGCAATAGGATTGGTGCTGGTGACTCAACTTGGTTGGTGACGGTAGGGATGGTGGAGGCAAGTGGGCAGAGCTAAATATTTGGATAGCTGTTGGTCACACCAGTCTGGTAAGGGACCGTGAGACTAGGAGTCAGGGTGAGACTCAGGATAGTTTCAGCAGGTGAGATGATAATGTGGTGCCATTGGCTGGGATAGAGAACACTGGAACAAGTGGGCAGCAGTCCCTGCATGGGAGGGGCAAAGATGTCAGCCAGACATCCAGGCTGGGTCCATTTGGAAAGAGGAAGAGAGGTTAGAGGCAGCTTTGAGTTGCTGATACTGAATCATGAGTTCAAAGCACAAATGGAAGAACGGGGAGTTGCCTGAGGCAGTGAGGAGGGCAAGGGGAATACTGAGATGGGGTACAAAGAGGTGGACAGTTAGGCCTCTAGAATCCAAAATTATGGTGACCACCCTGATAGAATTTTTTCTTGGTGGGGAGCGCGGGAGACTACAGGTTGGAAAAGGCTGGGGAGCATTTCACTAAGAACAAGTATGGACAAAGTCTTACTGAGTTGTAATTGGAATGGGAACCCTCTGCTTAGGTGGCAGAATGGACATTTGATTGTATGGAATCCTCAGGATGTGGTGTGCATGGGATTATGTGTGCGAGTGTGGGATTGAGAAACAGATGGACCATGACTCTGGGATAGGATTGGGGCATGGCTGGCATTGAGGAGGCCCAGAAGTGTGAATTTGAGGCTAAGAATGCTGCTGAAAGTCCTGGCTTTTTCAGGAACTTCCTCATATCTGAAATTTAGTAATGTGCTTTTTAAATTTTAATTTACTGCTCTCTGATTTTTGGGTATATTTAGTGTGAAAGTTTGTTCTGGGAAGAGTAATAGTACATGTGTGGAATAGGGTGAGTTGTGTTCAGGGATTATAGGTCAAGTGCTTGGGAGATGATACCCAGCAGTCAGGGATGGTGGAGGGAAAAAAGAGATGGGGCTCAGGTTGAGTCTTGGCAGGATTCCACAGTGGAGATGAAGGATGCTCCTGGCAGGGGATATGGCACCAGCAGATGTGTCCAGGGCCAGGGAAGACACTTAGGGAGAAACAACTTGGAACAGGAGCTTGTTGGACATGGACTGTTTGGGGCCAATGAGTGTTCTAGATTACACCTTCAGCACTTGTGATCATTTAGGTAACTCCAAATGCTTAGAAGTTGCCAAAGTGAAGCTAGGCAAGTTTATAAGTTTTTTCTGATGGTGGAGCGGCTCGTTCCTGCACACCATTCTCTGATTCTGTGTGTGGGGGTGATCAGACACAAATGGCAGGCTGGTGGGTCAGGGTCTTTGAACTTCTGAAACTTGGGAGGGAACCCTGGGGGACAGGCTGGCATGGCTATGGCCACGTGGCTCTGACTGCTGTCCTACCTGCTTTCAGACCTGCTTCGGATGTTCTTTGATGCCCTGTATGACGAGGACGTGGTGAAGGAGGAAGCCTTCTACAGCTGGGAGAGCAGCAAGGATCCTGCCGAGCAGCGGGGCAAGGGTGTAGCCCTTAAGTCAGTCACAGCCTTCTTCAAGTGGCTTCGTGAGGCGGAGGAGGAGGAGGAGGAATCCGACCACAACTGAGGGCTGGTGGGGCTGGGGACTTGGAGCCCCATGGACACACGGATGGCTCTGCCAGCTGCCTGGACTGCAGGGGGGGCGGCAGCAGTGGCGGCAGTGGCAGTGGGTGCCTGTAGTGCGATGTGTCTGGCTAATAAAGTGGCTGAAGAGGCAGGATGGTTTGGGGCTGCCTGGGGCCCCCTCCAGGATGCTGCCAGGGGGTGGCCCTCTCCTCCCTCTGGGGCACAGAACTATATTATATATAAAGTCTTGAAATTTGGTGTGTCTTGGGGGGGGCACCACCGCCTGCCCCTGGGGTCCTTTTTTATTTTCTGAAAATCACTCTTTGGGACTGCCGTCCTCGCTGCTGGGGGCATATGCCCCAGCCCCTGCACCACCCCTGCTGCTGCCTGGGCAGGGGGAGGGGGGGCACGGTGCCTGTAATTATTAAACATGAATTCAATTAAGTTCCCTGCCTCTCTGTGTTATGGCCTGCTGTCTCTGGAGAAGGGGTGTGAATATGGGCAGCCCCCTTTCCAGAGCTGGCACAGTAGCACTGTTCCCTGTAACCTGGCACCCCTCCTTCCTCTTCCCCTGTCCATGATTGCAGGGATTTGTTCCCACTTTCCTGAAGGGTGGGAACTTTGTGGTGGGCACGGTAGGGCTGCCCCTTTGGAATGGAGAAGTGCTGGGGGACAGCTGTGAAAACTGGCATTCTGGAGTGCTTGCTGCCAGAAGGTGGTCCAGGACCTTAAGTGGGGTGGAAACTCTAGATTGCAGTCCGTAATAACAGAAGTCCCTTATGACCTCAAGATGGCATCTGAAATGAGGGGGGCTGGATGCGGTGAGGTTTTCAGCCCCTGTGTAGAGTACCTGGGCACAAGTTTCCTGCTGACCTGCCTGCCTTGTTCCCTCTGGTCTGGGAGCAGAAGACTGGGCGTTTTCCAAACTCAGTCACAGACTGCTGCTGCGTGGCTGTGACGTTGCCCTGGCTCCGCCTGCTTTGGGTGGTGACGCCTACGGCCACGCCCCCGCTCTTACGTCACCGGCCCGGTTCCCTCTCGGGAGCGGCGGCGGACGCCCGGCTCCCACCCCCTCCCCTCTCCCGGGCTCTCCCCTCCCCGGTGTCGGCCGCGGCCCGACCTTCTGCAAGGCGATGGCCCGGGCCCCGAGCGCGGGTTAGCGTGCCTGGGTCCCCGGCCATGGGCTGTATCGGCTCTTGGAGCCCGGCGGGTCAGGGTAAGAGGCGGAGGCCGGGCACAGTTGGGAAGCCGCTGCTGTCGCCCGGTGCGCGGGCCTCGGGTGGGTGGGGGCCTTGGGGAAGGGGCCGGTGTCGCGAAAGGGAGGAGCCTGCACTGGGGAGGCGGGCCAGGCAACAGGAGGGAGTGGGAATGAGTGGGGAGGGGGCTAAGCCAACTCCAGTTTGCTCCTGTGGCCTTCCTGCCTCTGCTTTGCACCGCGGTCGCGTGGTCTCGCCAATGAAGGAATACCTTCAATCGAGGGTGTCGGGAGGGACTAGTCAAGCCCAGGTATACAAACCATGGTGAAGAGCTTTGGATGCCTGAACACTAACTGCCCTATTGCCCTAAACACCTCATCTGCCGGCCTGGGAGTGACCCTGTGCTGGGAACCTGCCTCTCTCCAGCTGTGTGTCTGCGCTCTTATAAGGAGGTGGCCTGCAGACACTGGGCAAAGCACCCTTTGACAGTTTCCTCCCAACACTTGCTCCCTCCTCAAGCTCCAGCTGGTTAATGAAGGGTACTGAGGCTCCAAGCAGGGCACCTGTGAGCACCTGATAACCACTTCCCCAACCCTGAGGAGGAGAGGATGAGTCCAGAGGCAGGCCAGGGAGGGCTGCTTTGCCAACCTGCTGACCCCTGCTTGGACCTTGGTCCCCCGTGCATGGCGGTGTTTTGCTGGGGCCTGGACTCAGTTCCATGCATCTGAGGTTGGCTGCCTTCTTTATTTGTCAGGTTTCTCCCAGCCTAAGGCCTGGCGGGGGCTTGTGACATTGAAGGTGGGGTTTGGAATGGGTCCTGGGCCTTTGGGGCAGGTGGTCAGTCTCAGACCTGGTTGCTACTGGAGGTTCTTTCGCAGCTGTAAGACTGCAGCTTTGAGATTTGTGTACTTCCCATGAAGAGGAATTCTGGGATTTGTAGTCCTAAACTAACCTCATGGCTTTTGAAGTTGAGAAGCAGCAGGCTGTTTTGATCCCTCTAGCCAGCCAAGGCTTGGAGTTCAGGAAGTCAGGGGTAAGGGTTTGGCTGACCCTCAGGACCAGCCTCATAAGCCCTGATTTGGATGGCCTGTAACCTGTCTTCCTTCTGGTTGGTAGCATTTCTGGGGACCACCAGCTGGCTGAGGCTCAGGGACAGAGACGGCTGCTCCAGCTAAAGGTCAGTTGTGATTCTCCCGTTGCCTGTTGGCACTGTCTAAGGGATGGGCCTCAGCTCCTCCAGCCCCAGAGAGCTGCGCTAGGCCCCTGGCAACGCCCACCTCCTCAAAGCCATGAGGCAGGAGTGTTCTCCTTATGTGACTAGGCACAAGCTCCAAGTGGGGAGGGGACTGGCTCAGCATCCGGAGCCAAAACAGGAATAGAACTGGGAGCAGAGCCTGGAGCAGTTCTGGGCTTTTGGTTCTCCGCGTCAACACAGCCAGCATGCCCATGATTTCTGTGCTGGGCAAAATGTTTCTGTGGCAGCGTGAAGGGCCTGGAGGCCGATGGACTTGTCAGACCAGTCGCAGAGGTGAGACCAGGGACCTGGGAGGTGATGGGCAGCTGAGAAATGTAGGGTGCTCAGGTGGAAGGAGGAAAATCACTGAGGCTCAGATAGCAGCGGCAACGGGTCGGGGAACCTGGCTGGGGAGAAACCATGCATAGGAGGGGAGTGGAGGCTCCACTTCCATAGAAGGGTCAAGGGGGACTGTGGGGAGGGGTCAGGGATGCTGGTAGAACACAAGGTTTTCTCTGGAGGACTGGTTAGGCTGGGAAAAGTGGAAAAAGAATTGAATCAACGTTTGGGTTTTCATCTAGAGTTCTGATGGCAAAATTATTTGTAGAGGAGGAAGATGGCCAGCCCTAGGGTCTGCCTGTGGCAGAGGGGCTTACTAAGTTGAGGAACCCACCAGGTGGTCCTTGTGTCCTGGGAGATGGGGGAGGAGTGAGGCGTAACTGCCAACACCGGATGTTAACAAGGGGGCGGGGAGAGGGGAGTGCTCAGCTGAAGCATCTCTCCCCTACCCCCAGTGGCCTCGGACCCCGCGTGGGCTGTGGAGTGGATCGAACTGCCGCGGGGCCTCTCTCTGTCCTCCTTGGGATCTTCTCGGACCCTCCGAGGCTGGAGCCGGTCCTCGCGACCTTCCTCCGTGGACAGCCAGGACTTGCCAGAGGTGCTGGGCGTCCCTCCACCCCACTCGCGTTGGCGGGGTGGGGGTAGGAAAGCCGCATCTACACGAAGGGAGCCTGTGTCCCCCGCCCCCGCCTCGCCAGCCTGCTCTTGGCTGGCTCCCTGTTCCTGCGAGCGGAGGCGCTATCCGGCCGGCGGGGCCGGGAGGCCGCCCCCGCGCCGGTCTGCTCCGCTCGGCGCTGTGCCAACGGGGCGGGCTCGCTCACGCCTTCGGTGCTGACGTCAGCGCATCCCGGGCCGTATCCCGGGAGACCCTGTTGCATGGTGATGGGTTGCCAGGGAGACATACACTTTTTCTCTGGGCCGGAGCCACAGCTGCGCACGGAGCTGTGCGGGCACGGATGGCTGCGCCTGGGGGGAGTTGAGAGGAGGGAGGCAGGGCGAGTCAGGAAACACCCAGTTGGGGCTCCTCCCCGCCCCCCGCACCCCTACCCCACCCCGGGCCTGGCTGGCAGCTACCCGGGGGGCCTTGGCGGCCAGGTACCGAAGGGGCGGGACTGAGGGCGGGCCTGGGCTCTAGGGCAGGTGGAGGCCAGCTTTTGAGGGGTGGGGCCGAGACAAAAAAGAGCTAGGCAGTGCCTGGGAAGGGGTGTGTGGGTGCACGCGCGGGGGAGGAGGGGGGCAGGGGTCGCTAAGCCAGGTGCAGGAAAGAGCTTCCAAAGATGGAACTGGGTCCTGGCATCCTGAAGAAGGCAAGACAGCAAGGCAGTGATGCGCTGGGAGGGGCCTGTCAGGGGAGAGAGAGGCAGCTGTGAGCTGAGACCCAGGATCCTGGGGAAATCAGCTGCACTTGGGGCTAGCCTGGGGCAAGGGTGGCGTCCATTGCCCAGAAGAAAGCTGAGTTTCTTTTGCTGGAGGAGGAAAGGTGGAGAGGTGAGGTCGTGTTGGACAGAGATCAGGGGTGGGTCCCAGGGAAGCCCCAAGTACGGTCCTTTCAGACCTGGGTCAGAGGCCTGTCCAAACTTTGCGGGCCAGTGGGAAGTGGGAAGGAGGCCCAGGAAAAGACTTTTACAAAGGGACCATACTGTGATTCACTGTGCTTCGGGAGAACTGTTTGTTTACATTGCTGCTTCACCTCATTCAGGCTGTACTTTGGAGGAGAGGCCTCCAGATGAGGCCCTGCACTAAACACTAGGGTGCAGCCATGACCACAATAGGCCAGATTCCTCAAAGAGCTCCCAACCAGTGTGGGAGATGGAAGAGAAACAGGAAACACACCACAGGGACCATAATTGCACACTGTGATTCAGGACTCAATTGGAGAGGTTAGCAGTTTGTTGGAGATGATGGAGGGAGGACAGAGTTCTGATAGAATAGTCCAAGAGTTCCTCTGATGAGAAGATGGCCCACCCAGAAAAGTATGAAAGAGCCAGCCAGTTGTTGGAAGAGAGGAAACAGTGTGGGGTTCGGAGGAGGTTAAGGGCCCACCCCTTCACTGCTCTGGTGGGGGACCCAAAGGGCTGGAGACTGGCAGTGGCAGAGGCAACAGAGGTAGTGTGGGATTTACCAGGCAGATAGCCATGGATGGGGCAAGGAAAGCTCAGAGGAGAGTGTGTGCATGGCAGTGCTGGCGTTGGGAGCTGAGCTGCATGGGAGAATGGTGGGTGATGCCAAGTCAGGAGGCAGTAAGCAGGCAGGTGTGGGGAGGGGCTGGGTTTGAGCTGGGCCATGTTCAGTGTGTGGCTGCCGTGGGTGGTCTAGGAACAGCTAGAACCCGGAACTGAAGCATGAGAGGAGGAGCAAGGCAGATGGAAGGGACCTTAAGACGTCCTTGATGGCATCCGCTTCTCCCTTCCCCCTCTGCCCTGCCCTTGGAGGCCCACTTCCACCTCCGTGGTCTTCACTTCCTGACTTGCTTACTTCTCTCCTCCCTCCTCCCCACCTCCTGGAGGGGTGGTGGGCATGCTGATGGGGGGTCAACTGCCATTCTGACCCTGGGAAGCCCTGGTATAATGGTCTCCCTGAAGCCCTGGGTACATGGTGGATGATGGGCATGGGGTGGGGGTGCCCCGGGAGGAGCGCTGACCTTTTCTCCTGGCATCACACAAGGTGAATGTTGGAGACACAGTCGCGATGCTGCCCAAGTCCCGGAGAGCCCTCACTATCCAGGAGATCGCTGCGCTGGCCAGATCCTCCCTGCATGGTATGCACCTGCCGCCTGAACCACTGCCCACTCTGTGCTGGCTCCTCCTTTTGGCATGTACCCCTTGGAACTGTTCCTGGGAGCGCTAGCTGGGACTCCCTCTTCCCCCCAGCCCCTCAGTCTTTTCAAAAGCACCTCATGGGTCCTCCCTCATGACCGCCACACTTTTGCTTCCCTGCCCAGGTACATCCTGACCCATTGCCCTTACCAGAATTTTCTAACTGTACCTTCAGGCATCTCCCAGGTGGTAAAGGATCACGTGACAAAGCCTACTGCAATGGCCCAGGGCCGAGTGGCTCACCTCATTGAGTGGAAGGGCTGGAGCAAGCCAAGTGATTCATCTGCTGCCCTAGAATCTGCCTTTTCCTCTTACTCGGACCTCAGTGAGGGTGAACAAGAGGCTCGCTTTGCAGCAGGTAGGGAGCAGGAAAGGAGACCAATTGACTGACCACACATAAATACCACGTACTTACAAATATACATGCAGCAGTCATGGGGCTGCTTGCTGTCTTCTCTTTGGGTCTGGTCTGGGGCCTGGAGCTTAACACACCATTCATTTGCTAACTGCCCCCTAACTTTGCTAAGGAATTCCATGCCCCCTCTCCCCAACCCCAATAGGAGTAGCTGAGCAGTTTGCCATTGCAGAAGCCAAGCTCCGAGCATGGTCTTCAGTGGATGGTGAGGACTCTACCGATGATTCCTATGATGAGGATTTTGCTGGGGGAACTGACACAGGTAAGGAGGGATGGTGCATGCTCTTGCTGCCAGGTGGACCTTCCTGATGGGACCTTGTGAATCCTGCAGAGCCACACTTTGAACATCCTAAGCTTTTGCAAGTCTGTGTCCAGGCCATTCGGGCTTTCCCTGGACTAGAGGGGCAGGAGTGCTGGCTGAGAGCTCATGGCCAAGAGATCAACACTTGGCAGAGTAGGAGTTCTAGTGCTCAGTTTTCTCTACCTGTCTGAACAAGTGGACTTTGCAGTCCTCAGGTTTACAAACAGAAACAAAAACTTAAGACCTTAGCAACACGTCCTGGGCAGTCATGCCTTTGGGAGTGTCTGCTCACCACTTTCCTCTGAGCTGGCCACTGGCACCTTGCAGGGCTGCAACCCCAGGCAGAAAGGAAAGCATGCTGGATCTGGAACAGCCACAGGGCTGGGCTGCCTCCAGTTCAGCCTCCTTGCATTCCAGCCAGTGTGCTGTCCTCTGGGCCACCATTTGCACCGGGGGCCCCACAGGGCAGTGTAGCAGGGCTGCCTTCCCTTGATTTTTCAGTTCCTGGACCTAAGGGTTGTCTTTGACGCTTCTGGGCTCAGGTGTCCCACCACCTCCACTTCCCCTCTACTTCAGCAGCTCCCATTCCTCTCACTAAAATGCTGCAAGGTGGAGACTATGTTAGAACAGGCCAAGAAGGAACCATACAACACAAGCATTTTTGTTTGATGCAGTTCCAGGTCTGTCCTGACCCCTGGGATAATGATAATAACTGATGTTTGTTCAAGACCGCCCCTAGCGCATGTGGAATCTCTGCACATTTCCAGAAGGCATCACTTTTCCTGGCAGGCACAGCCCCATGTCAGGGTGGGCCACTCGATGAGCAGAGCAGGGTTGGATTTCAATCCTTTTGCATCTTGCCTTGGACAGGCCCCTTCCAGGGAGGGTAATGCAGTGGCTCTGCCTTTACTGGCTGCTTGCCGTATCACATGACAGGCTTGTTCTCCCAACAACCTCGCAAGATAGCAGCTAATTTGATTGCCCAGTTCAGGAAACCCAGACATGGGACAGTTGGGACTTGCCCGAGGTTTCCTTGCTCCTGTTTTGCTGCCTCCAGCACTATGGCAGAGAATGGGGTGGGGTGGGCTTCATTCAATAAGAATGGCACCAGCAGGGCTATCTTGTCTTTCTTTTCACAGACATGGCTGGGCAGCTGCCCTTTGGGCCCCATCTCCAGGACCTGTTCTCTGGCCGCCGATTTTCCCGGCCTGTGCGTCAGGGTTCCGTGGAGCCTGAGAGCGACTGCTCACAGACCGTGTCCCCAGACACCCTGTGCTCTAGTCTCTGCAGCCTGGAGGATGGGCTGCTGGGATCCCCAGCCCGGCTGGCCTCCCAGCTGCTGGGTGATGAGCTGTTCCTTGCCCAACTGCCCCCCAGCCGGGAAAGTGCCTTCCGCAGCCTGGGCCCCTTGGAGGCCCAGGACTCACCCTACAATTCGCCCCTCACGGAGTCCTGCCTTTCTGCAGCCACCGAGGAGCCAGACCCCTGCAAGGACTGCCACCCGCACTGCCCGCCGGCCATGGGCAGCTGGGAACGGCAGCGGCAAGCCTCCGAGGTGGCCTCCTCTGGGGGAGTGTCCTTAGAGGAGGATGAGGTGGAGCCAGAGGAACAGTGACCCAGATGGCATGCTGGATAGTGGCCCTGGTCCCCCTGGCCGCTGCCAAGGGGGCAGAGCCTCTGCGTCCCAGCGTGGGCCCCGGGGCTCTCAGCAGCAGCTGGCTCCACAGCGGGAGCACTCACTTCTCTGTTGTCGTCGTGTGTTTTGCATGAAAGTGTTTGGAGAGGAGGCAAGGGCCAGGCTTTTGGGGGCGCATGTCCTGCTCCCTACTCGGGGGGGTTTGCCGGGGGTTGCCCGGGACCCCTGGAGCATAGCTACAGCTGTGGCAGACAGTGATGTTCATGTTCTTAAATCAACAGCGCCACACACACACATTTCCTCCTTGAATGATGTGAACCCCTAAGGGACTTACTGTGACTGTGCTGTGTGGGGGTGGCGTGGGAGGGAGCCTGGCTACCGCCTCCACGCGCCCTGTGCCTCTCTTTTCTGCTTCTCACCTCCAAGTCCATGTGTAGTGCTTGATAGACTCACCCCCACTTCAGGGGAGGGGGAGCCGTTCCCCGGGACCCCCTGCTCAGCTGGGGCTCTCCCTGCCCTGTCCCAATGCCGTGCTTCCTTTCCCCATCAGCTCTAAATCTTTTTCCCCGTGAAGCCAGGGCTGTGGGTCTGTTCTTTCAGTGGGAGGGTGGGGAGTCTTCTTGGGGAGGCATTGGGATGCTGTATGAGTGCCATGTGTCTACCACCCTTTCCCTGGCTACCCCAGTCAGCCTGGGTCCAGTTGCTGGGATGTGGGAGTATGGTGCAGCCAGCATTTTCCATAAGGTGGAGCCAGGGATGGCTCTGGTGGCCACTGGGCTGTAGCTTCTGTGTTATTCCAAGGATTGCCACGAGGGGGCCTCCAGGGTAGCCAGGCTACGGTTGGATGCCCTCCTTAGAGCTGGAGATGACTCTCCCTGGGGATGGGAGAGGGTAGTGCTGCCTTTGGCTGAGTGGCTAAAGCTATGGTGCTGGGAGCCCCCTCCCAAGCCAGGGTGTTAATGACCAAGCAGGGGCAGACCCAGTGTTCAAGGACACCAGACTTCTGGTTTTTATGCCTGAGGGGAGGGGTGGTACGGAGAATTACATTAGCAGATAAGAAGGGCCCAAGGTAAGAACAAGAGCCAGTGGGCACAAACATTCTATACATAAGTGGCTCATTAGGTGTTTATTTTGTTCTATTTAAGAATTTGTTTTATTAAATTAATATAAAAATCTTTGTAAATCTCTATATACATCTTGTCATTGGAGGTTCCAGTATAAACCCATCTTAGTTCTAGCCTTTTCCCCCAGTTCAGAGAGGGTGCAGGAGGTGCTGGGTCTGCTTCCACGGAGGAAAAACTGGGAGAGAGACCAGTAGGTCTGGGAGTGTGGCCAGGGCCGTGGATGGCTGACTCCTGCCTTCCCACGGGCAGGAGCCGGAGAGCTGCCTCTGGAGGAGTTTCACTGGCACTTGTCATCGCTGTCAGAAGGACTGCCCTCCCGGGGGAGGCCGTGGCGAGAGCGGGGCCCCCAGAGTGCGTGCACCTCGGTGGTCTCTGTGTCGCTGCTGCTGGTGGCACTGTCTCTGAAGCTGGCGAGGGGTGGCCGGACCTTCACGCCCTGTGCCGTGACAGAGCCCTCAATGGCCTTGCGGAGCTGGACAGGTGAGAGGGACACGTTTGGGATCAGAATTCCTGGTCATACAGCCTCACCAGCTCCACAGGTGGGCCGGACATGAGCTTCCCTGCCTCTCTTGAAATTGGCTTTGATGGCTAGTGCCTTACCTCCTTTAGGGTAACAATTCCAATGAGTCGGCCGATGCTGGTGACATAAGCATGGTCCACTCCCAGCAGTGAGAAGATGGTGTGGGTCTGTGGGGTGGGGAGAAAGCACACTGGACTTGGTATGCCTAGGTAGCTACTTCAGGCTTAGGTGGGAGGATGGGCCAGAGAGGACAGGATTATGGGAGGGGAAATGATGGTGACAGCAGTGTTTGTGTCCCCATGCCTCGGATGCTTGAGTTGGAATCCTATTGTTTCCACTGATGGGGAAGTGGTTTCTTGGACAAGACATGGTTGAGAGAGCTTGTTTGGACACCGAGTCCCATGAGCTTCATGCCAGAGCTCACACCAAGCCATTTCAGTACTGTCCTGAGAAGCAGCTTTACCGTTCTGCAGGAGCGGTAGCATGAGGCTCAGCGGCAAAATGTTCTGGGTGGGGTTGACAGCAGTGCCCTACCCCAGGCCTCTCATGCTATTGTTCCCCTAGTTATAGGGTAGTCCCAGGAGAAAGCCCCCACCTCCAATCATGCTCCCCATTTGTCCTCTAGCTAGCTGGCCTGCCAGCGCTTTCCGACCCCCGGGCTTAACTTAATGCCCTGGTATTGGCTTAAAGTGCTCCACCCCTCTCAGCTGGCTTTTTCTGGAGTGCCAGTGTCACCCCAGTCATCCCCAGGGCCTGGGGAGAGGCAGCCTATAGTCATCCCCCTTCCCCATGTTTTTCTGCTTTGGGCCCTAAAGCTTTTCAGCCTAATCCCTGAGTTCAGAAGTTGTCGGTCAGCTCCTGGGCCAGATGTCTTAAAAACCACTCTCCTGACTCAGCAGTTCCTGGAATTTCTGGCCTATCATTATCACTCTGTTTTGAATTCCGTTGTAAGCCTCTTGGTTTAATATCTGAATAAAAATGGGCAGTATTATTGCTAGTTTTGAGGACCAGTTACCCAAAACTCACTTTTTAACACTTTGGAATTCTTTAGGAAGAGAATTCTAGAATGTTCCTAATGTTCTGCATCCAAGGCATGAAAGTACTTATAAAAGGAACAAGAAGTTCAGTTTTAGAATAAGCTGTGTTCCTTTAATATCTGCAACAGAATTAGCAGGTCGTTAGCAAGTTGCTCTTCATATCTAGCTGGAATCCTACTCACTACAAACTAACATTAACTTCAGGGAGAAATATCTTTATCCTGAGCTTTCCTGTTTTAGCCTTGTCTTCTTATTAATTAACCCCTTTCATCTTCTCCCAAGGAACCTACTAAACAGTTCCTTGGAAATTATTTTTCTCTACCACCTTTAATCCAGTGGGCTTCTAGTAGGTTTTTTGCCTTTGAAGTAGTAAACCACTTGTCGCTAGCTGTCACCAAGCCTTACTGGTATCCTTTCAGAATGCCCTGGCTGTTCTCCACAGGCCCAGGACTTCTGCTTCCCCCTTCTGCTCTCCAGTCCAGGCCTTCTTTTTTCTCACACCTGAGTAGTTTCTAGGCTTGCCCAGGAACAGCCCGGAGCCCTTTCCTAGGCTGAAACCTTTCAGTCTTTCCAGATTGGGTCCACTAAGTAACTACCCAGTCCTGACCTCCCATCTCCGTCACACATCTCATTCTGAAAAGCATCCTGTCACAGCACACATGGGTCTGCCCTTCATCGTGCAGCCCTGAAGGCACCCTGCAAGGCGAATGGCCGCACTTATTGACACAGGCTGTAGGCACACTGCGTGTGTGTCAGGCTCCGTTCTAAGTGCCTAGTGTGTTTCAGGTTCATTAGTCCTCAGAAAATCCCAAGGCATGGTCCCCATTGTTGAGATGAGGAACAAGATGTGCAGAGGCTAAGCCAGGTGCCACAGTTACCTGGCTGGCACATGGCATAGCCAGGGTTTGGTGGCTCTGGCCATGGCATTAGCACTGAGACCTTCCAGAATGGATGAGGCACTCAGGACAGGACCTCCAGGTGCACAGATTTCTGAATGGCACCCGTGTCTCCTGGCTTCTCCCTGAATGCTCCCCCTCTTACACTGCCTTGGACTCAGGCTTGCCCCTACCTACTGGATCCTCGTCTCATGTTCTTATCACTTCCAGTTCTTTGTGCTTTCCTCAGCTGGATTCTCAAAGGCTTCTTTATGTCCTCTGATTTTCAAGTTTGTAACAAACACCTACTTTGTTCTGTTTCATCTTAATTTAATTAGGTACCAGACTGCCCATTGGATGGCCAGGACCTGGAGTTAAGAATGAACTGACCGGGAAAGGGACAGCATGGCCTTCTAAATAAATCCTGGGAGCAGGGCCAGGAACGCTGGGGCTCTGGGCCTGGCTGCTCTCCTGACTTGGACAAATGACCTCCTCCCTGTGTGCCTCAGTTTCCCTATGTGTTCCAGTGGTTAAGATCATAGTCTGTTGAGGCAGATCATTTTGGGAGTCATTAAGTAGAGTGATCTGGAGCAACTTTTCAACCTCTTTGTGTACTTCCTCATCATTAAGAACTGTAAGACCAGTGCCCACCTTATTGTGTGTTGGTAAGGGTTCAAACCTGTGAAGTGATTGGCAAAGAGCTTGGGCATATCATAGGCAATATGCAACTGTCAGCTTGGCCATCGTCCTCGTCACTACTGCAGACGCAGGAGGACACAGGGAGATGCTGGGTCACTGTGTAAATGTGTGAGCTATCTTGAGGAAGATAGACTTTAAACGAAAGCCCAGTGTAGACTCCTCAGGCCTGTCTCCACTTTTTCTACACCTGCATGCAGGTCCCCACTCATCTGGACTTGAGATCTTCATCCAAAGACAGAGTTCTTGGTCACATCTTGCATTTTTTGCCTCACTTTTATCCTCATTCCTTATCTTCCTGCTCACGGCTCTGCTTGACCATGCTCTGCCGTCTCTCTGGCACAGCTTTGTGTCTAAACCCCAAACTTCCCTGTCGCCTGCCCCTCACTTTCCCAGCACAGCCTTAGAGTCCCAAGATTGTCCAGAGTTTAGCTCACATACCTCAGCTTTTGCTAGTCCCAGGATCCATCCTACTGGCCTGCTCAGCCATCCTGCATTCGCTGCCTTTTCCTGGAAGCCTACAGGTGCTAGCAGCCTCAGAGCTCAGGAAGAGCCGAGCCCGCCCCCCCCCCCCCATGGGGTCTGCCTCACCCACTACTGACTTATTTAGGCTGAACTCCTTTTTTTCTTTCTCTCTCGGGAGGCCTCCTTGCCCTTCTGCTGAGCTGTCTCCCTTTGTTCCTATCAGTTTTCCTTTGGCCCACATGAAGTGAAAACTTTCTGGAGTCTGACATTCCAGACCCCCCACTGGGTGTTTCTCATCTTTGTTGATCTCTTCTCCACCCCTGCCTGGATGCTGGGGAGCTTGTTTATTCGATTTCCTGATCCTGCCCATTTCTCACCCATTTCTTTCAGTGTGGGTGTCTTGGCTTTGCTGGGCTCTCTGGCAGCCTCCAGCCTTGTTCTAGACCCTAGCCCGGTCTCCTGGCTTCCACCCAGCTCCAGCCCTGTCTTCTTTGCTTCTTTGGTCAAGAGTTCCCAAGAGGCCTGACCAAGCCGAGGGGGAGAAATGATGCCTGTGGCTCCACCACCCAACAGGATGAGGCTCAGGGCGCCTGGCTCCCTGCCTTCCAATTAGAGGCTCTTCTGAAGACCATCTCCCTGCAAAGGACCACTTTCTGCTCCTCCCACCTTACTTCCCTACTGGTCCAGTTTGTAGGGGGACCCAGATCTTGGCCCTGGTCTCTTGAGGACCCCAAACCAGGCTGCCAACAACCCTACCTTGTGCAGAGAGGTCCGCTCCACCAGCTGGAAGGGGGCAGGGTCAATCTTACAGTCACTGAAATTGACAGGCTCATCCAGTTGCTGTTCTTCCCACTCCAGAATCTGGGGGCAGAGACAGGGAGGGTGATAGAGGCCATGGCTGCTCTCTCCTCCCTTTTTCCTATCCACGGTTCCTCCCATGGGGACAACAGCCAGGGTGATAATTGAACAGCACCCAGGAAGAAACAGGGTCCAAAGTTCAGGTGCACCTTACCTCCTCAGGGCTCATGTCACCTTCTAGGTCCGAGTCACTCTAGGACAGAGGGGTGGGAAGGGGGACACTGAGTGTGCCCCCAGCTCTGGAGGTATCCCCAGCATAGACCCTGACCACCCTTCCTGTCCAGTATTTTTGAGAAGTCAGAAGGGGTGTACTTACTGCTAGGGAGATGCGGACTCGCTTGGATTTGCGTTTTTCGCTAGATTCTGACTTCTCCGGCTTGGTGAGAAGCATACGAGAGAGAGGAGGTGAGGTTATGGGGAGAGAGGTGGTGGGTGCTAGTGCTAGGAGGAAGGGCACCTGCAGGGCTGGGGGGCTCTGACGGTGAGCAGGCTGGGAGGGGAGGCTTACTCACTTCAGCTTTGGCCTCCGGAGGGGGACTGCCACAGAAGAGGCTCCTGAGGGCGATGCCAGCAGACTCCACGTGCCCTGTGCCCCCGAACACAAGGCCCCAGGCAGAGGGGAGGAAGACAGGGTGAGATGCTTCCACCCCAGCCTCCCTCCCCTGGGTGGGGTAAAAGTGGCTCAGCCCAGGTTGTGTCTAGGAAGGAGGGGAGAGGGGGGGCTCACCTGTGGGACTGTCACCAAGGTTCATGGGGTTACTGGACCCCCTTTTGAGAGCAGGCTTTAGGGGTTTGTGAGTTTCCCCTTGGGCTCCAGGGAAGCCGGAGTCCTCTGCCTTCACCTGTATGGGTGCGGTAAGGTGAGGGACTGGTAAGGCTGCAGCCACACAAGCTGCCCGCCTTTCTCACACAGCCTGCACAGCAGTGACCCTCAGGAAGTCTGTGTGGCTGGGGCCAGAAGGTGGGGACTTCTCCCTTACCTGGAAGCACACAGAAGGTTCAGGGCTGGGGGGACTCACCTGCTCAGACGGCGGTGAGGTCTGTGCAGCCCTGCGCTTCTGCTTGGATTGCCGCCGGCGGGCTGGGCTCAGCTGGGCTGCCAGTAGTGACACAACCTGTGCACGCTCGATGGAGCCCAGCAGGATCATGGACTCTGCATGGAGAAAGTGTGAGTACTCAGGAGCTAGGGGAGATGCCTGCACCCTGCCATGTCCCTGGAGAGGGAAACCTCTGCCCGGCCAGGGCTGGCCCATTCCCTCCAGCCCGGGGCTCTGAGCTCCCTGGCCCCTTCCTGAGCATCCTCACTCTGAGAAGTGCCCCCAGCCACCTGGGTCCCCTCTTGGTCTCACCAGAAGACTCCACCAGGGCCAGAGTGCGGCCCTTGGTCCTGTGCAGTACTAGCCGCAGGTCCCGGAAGGTGCAGCTGAGCGCCACATGGGGAACGTCCCGCACCATAATGTCTTCCACTCGCACCCGGTACTGCCTGGGGGCAGAGGGAAGTACCCAGTTTGTGGTTAGCAAAAGTAGAGGAGCCCACTAATTCCACGGAAGGTCCCAGAGCCCAGAGAGACTATGGGTGCTAAGGGCCAGTGTCCAGGAGTGTGCCCCATCTTTCTAACAGGCCAGCTGCCCTGGCTCACAGCTTCATTGGTGGTGGATGTTGGAGGGGAACCCCAGCTGGCCTTTGGCCCAGCACCCGACACCCCCAGCCCCTGCTATTCGTACTGGTGGCGGCCCCAGCCCAGCTCAGGCAGATAGGGGAGCTTCTTGATCCGGATGATGCTGTCATAGAGTGAGGGCTGCAGACTCTGTGCCACGGCATTGGCCAGGATGACGGCAATCATGACAGGCAGGATGTGAGCGATCTGGCCCGTGAGCTCGAACACGATCACAGCCGTGGACACAGTGTGCGTCACTGCTCCCGCCAATGCAGCCGCTCCTGGAGACAGTCATCTTCAGTCTGGGTGTCTGGGCCCCAGAAGACCCTCCCCACCAGAAACAGTCCTGGGGGGAGGGGAAGGGGTGTCCCTGAGGGCCACCAGTACCTCCCCCCCCCCATTCTTGCTGGAGCATCTGATGCAAAGCCAGGCTTCTGCCAGCAGGGGGCACCAGAGGCCCAGCCCCTAGGGGCCCAGCCAGGTCTTCCAAGGCCCCAGTGGCCCTGGGTACTCACCCACCACTGCATAGCCCCCTGGCACAATCCGGTAAGTGCTGCTGTCTGTGTGAATCCCATCGGGGAACCAGGCTGCCATGCTTTCTCCCACCAGGCGCCCGAATGCCGCTCCTTCACGGAGGGGGGGTGGGAAGAGAAAGAGGTGGTGGAGGGGGAGGGCAGGGGCACTAGGAAGAGAGAGGAGTAGAGGATGGGGGAGGGGCCGGTGGATCATTCAGTGCAGGGGACAGCCCTAGAGGGAGAAGGGATCGGGCTAGGGCTGGTCCACAACCCGCTCTGGGCAGAGAGGAGGGACAGTGGGGGCAGGGTTGGGGTGAAGCAGGGGGATGGGTGGCGTGGCCAGAGGGTGAGGAGAGTACAGGCTGGCAGAACAGGTGGCTAGGAACTCACCGATGACAAACACTGGCATGAAGGCACCACAGGGCACTGGGATGGTGGTGGCCAGCGCAGACATCCAGAACTGCAGGGCATGACAGGGTCAGTACCACACCTGCCCCTCCCGGGGAAAGAGCCCTCTCACAAGGCATAGGTTCAAAGCCTCACTCTGCCATCTAGCTGTGCAGTGACTTTGTTTTTTTTTAAGATATTGTAAAATTGCAGGTCTTTTAAAAGATAGTATTATAAAAATATTGAGTTGACAGGTTAAAGAGGTAGGAAGGAGAGAGAGAGAACTTAAAAAATGTCATTCATTGACAAAGGCCAGAGAGTGCCCATCCACTGGGCCACTTGCCAAATGCCCATCAGGGTCCCTGGCAGGACCAAAGCCACTAACTGGGAACTCCCAGCAGGCTTCCCATGTGACAGCTGTCAGCACTGCTTCTCAGGCTCTGTGCTAGCAGAGGCCAGGGGCAGGTCTGGCATGTGGGCACCCTGGACAGGGGCCGTGGGCATCCTGACCGCTAGGCTAAATGCCTATCCTTGGCTGAGTGTGACTCTGGGCCAGTGACATAACTCTCTGGCTCCCACATCCCAGTTTTGAAACAGAGGTAACAACAGCACCAGGCTCATAGCATTGCCTGGAGGTCTGGAGGGAGGAAGAGACACATGGCAGGTGCTTGGAACAGTACCACCTGCGTCCCTGAGCACAAGCCATGTGCATGAGGGCCTCACCTTCATGAGAATGAAGATGACCAGGGTGAGGAAGACGTTGGCACGGGGTGGGCTCCAGGCCTGCGAGGTGCTGGGTGGTTCCAGTTCCTCCACCAGGCCCTGGCGGACCCAGGTCCGGTTGTCAAACAGGGTGACCAGTGTCTCCTTCTGTGAGAGCTAAGATGAGCAGGGTCCCTCAGACTGGTGCACCAGAGAGGGTACAAGGAAGGGAAGGGACCCAGGGGACCCACAGGGGACACAGAAGCCCACATACAGGCTGGGGGGTCCTGAAAGCAGGCCAAAACCAGCATACTTGCCAATACCAGTCTGGCTTGCCTGGGGTTACCTGTCCGGCCATGAACTGTCCAAAGCCAGGGGGAAAGGTCAGGGTGGAGATGAGTAAGGTCACCAGGGCCGGGAAGAGCAGGCGCCTAGAGAAGTAGGTGTCACATTGTCACAGGCACTGTGCCTCCTGGAGACAGACTAAGAGTCCTCGCGAATCTCAGGGTTGGGCCCAGAGCAGGGTCTGTGATTCATAATGTGACAGCCCCAAGGGCATTGGGTGACAGAGCGATGGGTTCAGCTGGGCCTTCCCACGCACAGGCTTTTCTGCGGCCCCTGATCCCGTCAGCAGATAGCTACTGCAGAGGGAGCTCTCTACCAGGCAGCTGTGAGCCAGGATTCTGTAGCAGGTAGAATATAGGGGCATCACCTGGGGTCTTTCACAGGGCATAGGCTGGCTGCTCTCTCCCTGAAGGACGTCAGTTGCCCTGGAAGTCATGTCTCAGGCCTCCCCTGCTCCATGTCCTCAGGGTCATGGCCATGAGAACTGTGTCCCAGAGATGCTGCCTCACAGGCCCCATATGGCCCAGGTGGGCAGTGCAGGTTCAAACACATTCCACTCAGGGATACCACCACCTAGGCCAGGCCAGGGGACCAAGGAAGCCCAGATTTTAGTCCACAGTGTCCCCTGCCATCGATGGCCTTCAGTGGTTCAACTGGACATCTGAGCAGAGGCCAGTTGGGGAGACACCATTGTGTAACCCTTCTCAGGCCGGGACTGTTGGCTCTAAGCCATCACTGATCCACTGGAGGTCTACCGTAGCCCTCACCCAGCCTGAAGCTGCCTCAGGGTAGCCGGGGACCAACTCACTTTCGCATCAGGAAGCGGTTAATGGTTTTCTGCTTCCTCATCACCTGCACGATCTTGCGGTTGAGGTAGACAAAGAGGGCACCCCCAAAGCCACTAGCGATACTGCAGGAGGAAGAAACACCAGGGCAAAAGGGGTGGTCTTGTGGAAACCACCCTTCCCCCTGTGACATCCCAATCCCTCAGGAGCCCTCACCCAATGACAGCAAAGGCTGGCAGCTCCTGCAGGTCAAAGGGGAAGTCGAGCCGGAATCGGGTTTTGAAGAGGGCAGTGATGGTCTCTGCAGCGGGAGAGAAGCAGTGGGGCGTGGGGCCTAGCCCCATGGGCCTATCACCCAGCTGGGCTGTCTCAAGGAGTCCCCACCTTCATCCCGGTTCCAGACAGCCAAGACTCTGAAGATGAAGGCGCTGAAGGTGGCGGCGAAGAAGCCACGCCAATAGTTGCGCACGGCGAAGAAGGTGGAGGTGACCTCGATGCTGAACAGGACGCCTGCAAGGGGGCAGGAAACAATGCTACTGCTGCTGCTGGAGACTCAGGGCCAGGGAAGACGGGGGTGGGGTGCGGTGGGGTGGGTTGGGGGAGGGGGCCCAGGGTGTGGGAGCTGGTCTGCTGGGAGCCTTGCCTACCTCCGATGGGGGCTGCGAAGCAGCAGCCCACGCCCACAGCACAGGCGGCAGCCAGCATCTCTGTGTTCCGGGATTCATTCTGGCAAGAGTGGCAAGTGGGAGTCAGACCTGGGCCCAGTAGCCTGCCTCTCCCCACCCCACACACTGCCTCTGGAACTGCCCCCTTACCTCGTAGATACCTCCAAAGAGGGAGAGGAACTTGCTGAGAAGGGCGGCACACATGCTGGCGATATGCACAAAAGGGCCCTGGGGAGTGGGGCCAGTGCTGAGTGGGGAAGGAGTCTGCCTTGACCTTGACCGTGGCCTCTTCCTCCTTCCTTCCCCACCTGGCAGTTACCTCTTTGCCCAGGGGCATGCCACTGCCCAAGGCACAGGTCAGCCCGATGACCTTGGCAACAAAGGTCTTCAGGGTGAGGTATTCTTTCAGCACCACTCCCCGCAAGATGGTTTTCATCTCGGGGATGCCGGACCCTGGCAGGGTATAGGGAGAGGGGTCACAGTCCCTGGAGTCACCTGCGGTGGCCTGAAGTTCCAGGAAGCCACCACACCTCTGCCCTCGTCCCTCCTGTCCTACCGACAGCCTGAGGGGCCAGGATCTGTGTGAATCCAGCAGAGAAAGTGATGAGGACAACTGGGTAGGTGACCCAGGCAAGGTACTGCAGCATGAGGTTGGTGTTGAGGCCTCGGGACATCCACTGTTGAGCTGTGGGCAGAGAATATGCTGCTGGGATCCCCCGGTACGTGGCTGTGGGGACACACTGAGGGGAGAGCTAAGTGACAGGGAAGCCTGGGCGACATTGGGCAGGGAGGGACAAGGCATTCATAGGGACAAAGCCCACTCTAGAGAGGAGGATCTGTGGGAGAGAGGAAGCAGGAGGTTATGGCCTGGGCATGGGATGGGATATGGTGGAGGTGAGGGTGGGGGGTTGTGATTGTGCCTAAAGACGGGCAGCCAGCAGGGCGGGACTGTGTGGAGGGAACAGGTGCCCTCCCAGCCCCTGCCCTCACCCTGCAGACAAGCAGCAATGGCGTAGTCCATGGCCCAGCTGACCAGTGCCATGAGGAGCCCTAGCAGGACCAGGAAAATCCAATCTTCACCAACCCTGGACACCAGGAACTTGTGGCATCGCACAGAACACACTGGTGGCAGCCAAGGAAGGAGCAATGAGAAGGCGGCCAAAGGTGTGCCCCCTCTCCCCTCTCCTGGGGGTCTCTGATGGCCTCTGGCCCCCTTAGGCCCCCACCCCAACTCAGCGCTCACTGCGGCAGGGGGCGCAACGACTCTGTCCGTATTCCAAGAGTTCTGGGGGCGTCCGCGGGGAAGGCGGGCTCCTCCAGGGCTCCGGCCCTCCCAGGCGAATGCGGGCAGCTTCCTCTTTGGCAAAAGCCCCAAGGTCCTGGGTATAGCGGCCATACATCTGGAACACCGGGGAAAGTGGGGGGCGGGGAGGAGGGAGAAGTTGTCAGTGGTGCCCTTTCTCCTGGGCTTGCACTGCATTGCATACCCCCTTCCCTCTGTCCCTCCTGCCTCCTCCTGCCCCACTGAAACCCCTCGATCCCATTCTGGCTCAGGGTGTGGGAACAATGCATACTGCAGCCCGTGGGGGTTGTCCTGGCAGGGGTGATGAGGACAGCCAAGGTACAGGGACACAGTTCTGGGGGTGGCAGAATAATTCAGGCTTCTTCTCCCAGGCTTGGGGCACAGAGGCCCTGAGGAGGAGGAGGAGTGGGAGGGCAGGCTCCAGAGGAGGAGAAGACAGAGAAGCCCAAGGCGCAGCAGGCAAAGTGGGAGGAGGGAAGGTCAGAGAATAACGGGATGGTCAAGGGCACACAAGGCTCATGGAGCTGGGGGCAGCTGAGTTGGGCCTGGGAGCAGGCACGGCCCCAATCCTTATCACGTTCCCGCTGGGCCTCTGGCCTGGGACCAACTCAGCTGCACCCCTCCCTCCAACCCACCCACCCTAATCCCCTTGTCCCCATTTTCCACTCCACCCCCACCAGTCTGCCAGCCCAGTCCAGAGTGAAAAGCTTCTCTGGGTGGGTGGAGAAGAGTTCGGTGGCCTCAGCTCCACTCGGGAGCTATCCTCTGAAGCCAGCGGCCCATTGAGCAGAGGCTGTGGATGGCTGGGCTGTGACTGTGGATGCTGGGGTGATGGGCCGGATGGCAGGACCTGCCAAGCTGGGCGTGTTGGGGGGTGGGGAGGAGTAGATTCCGGCTGCCACCCGCAGAGCCTCGAGACACAAAGGGCTCCTGTTGGGGCTGGGGGGGGCGGCGTGTTGAGGGAGGGAAAGATAGAGACAGGGAAAGGAGGGTGAGCAATAGAGTGAGCAAAGGGAGGAATAGAGGGAAGGAGAAAGGGGAGAAAGGGATTGGGGAGAGAGGAGAGGGAAGAAGTGGGCAGGAAAGAGAACAGAGTATACAGAGGCAGACTTAGAATGAGGGTGGGAGGGAGAGAGAGACAAAGGGATAGGAAGCAGGAGGGCAGAGGCCAGAGCGGAGCCTGAGCCAGAGACGACGGACAGCTGGTGGATGGGGCCACCCTCTCCGCCAGGTGTCCAGGCCACCTTCCACGCTGTGTGCCCTGCACAGGCTCTTCCCCAAGGCCTTGTCCTTTTACCCTCACTGCCCCCACCCTGCCACCTCTCCCTGTCATTCCTGTCCCATTACAAAACTGGGCAATTGCCAGACTAAAGTTACAGCCCAGGCCCTCTCTTCCTTGGGAGGTCCCCTCCCAGCCACCTTCCTGGGCAAATTCCAGCTGGGGCTGGTCAAAAGAAGTGTCGGAGCCTACTCTTTTCCTAGGGCTTGGGTTCCCCACCCCACTGATAGGAAAAGGGGCCAAATGACTTCTCAAAACACTGAGTAACCGCAGTGGCTGTGAGTCAGCGTGGAGCCTGGGACCCCTGTTTCTTCTAATGAGGTCAAGGGACACCAGGAGGCAGCATGGACAAAGGTCCCCAATTCCCACAACCACGCCTGCTGGTCCTATCTGCCCTTAATGCTGCTGTTCCCCAGGGTGTGTGTGTGTGTGGTAGGTGGGTGGTGGTGGTGGGAGCACCTGTCCCCACTCAACTAAAAGGCTGCGCTAGGGTTACTCTATCTTTTTTCGCACTTGATTCTGTGCCTAGCACCATGCACTTGACGGGACCCAGGTGATGGGAGTCTGGGGTGCTGAGAAAGTTCAAGGGTGTGAATGGTGCAGGGGAGAGGGAAGAAGGTGTGCTGAGATTTGGGGATACAGGTGGAGGTGCGGGAGGAGCAGGGAAGAGGTGTGTGGGAGGGTGAAGGGAAGGATACCTGGGGACAGACTCCTGGTGTCCTTGTCCCCCTGCCAGGAACCAGCGGCATGCAGCTTGGCCATTCTTTTGGCCCTGCAGCTTCCCAGACTCAGTTTCCCCCTCTCACAAGGCCGGCGCAGGGTAAGGGTAAGGGATAGGCCCTTGGCCTGCCTGCACGCTTCCAGAAGCAGCGGTCTCTCACGGCTCGGCTCGGCTCGGCTCGGCTCGGCTTCACTCACCAGGGTCTGCTCATACTGCAGCGCCCGCGGTTCCATCCCTTCCTCCGCCGCTGCGGCCGCCGGGGCCGCCATCTCGGCCGTACTGCCCCTCTCGCTTCCCACTGCGGCTCTGGCTCCTCCGGCCTCGACTCGGCGGCTGTCCGCCCGCAGAGCCGGCGCCGGTGCCCGTCCGGTCCCCGCAGCCCGGGGCGGCCAGAGCAGAGTGCAGCGGGCCCCGCGCGGGCGCCGCTGGCACGGCCTCCCGCTGTCGTCCCCTCCTCGGCGGGCGGGCCGAGGGCGGTGCCCTCTGCTTGTGCTCCGCCCGCCGGCCCATCCGGAGGGGTCGGCCTAGCCCCGCTAGGGTCTGCGTTGGGGCCGCCTTCCAGGCTCCGGAGCTAGGCAGCAGGGGGCGCTGGGGACGCGCCGAGTGTGCGCCCCCTGCCCGCCCAGGCCGGGCCTCGGAGCCGTAACCCTGCCCGGCGGGACCGCAGGCACGTGGAGCGGCAGGGACGGCTCGGCTGCTGCCGAAGCGGGGCTGAGGGGACGGGAGCCACCGGGCGCACCGGCCGGGGGGCTACCTAAACCGTCAGCAACAGCCCCGTTCTCTGCTCAGGCGCGCTGGGGAAGGCCCCGTTACGGGGGGTCTGGGTGAGGTGCCAAACGGGGCCAAAGGGGGAAATCGGAGGGCGAGTTGGAGCCGTCTCTCTCATTCTCACATCCTGCCGCTCCTGAGGTGCACCTGGAGCCACCGGACCTGCCGGCGTGTGCCGCTTGTGGAGGATAGGGAGTTCTAGGTGCCGGGGAGGCTATTCCTTAGGAATAAGGCATGGGTGAGAACAGAGGTCGCTTCTCCCTGCCAGGGCCCAAGGAGAAACCCGAGTAGCTGCTGACGTCTCTTCTCCTTGGCCTACAGAGGTTTGGCTTTCTCTATCAGGGTCCGGGGAAGGACAGACCGGAGGGTGGGGTGAGCACGGGGTGCCCCGGCAGCTTAGAGATAGTGTCGTTGGGCGCAGGCTGCAGGAGGGGGGCGGTAGGAGGATGAAGGCGCACCGGGGAGGCGGGGCCCCGGGAGAGAGACGAGGGGGTACCCCGTGGTGGCGGTGGCAGTGGGGGACGGGACGTGAAGTATAAACTGAAGGGGCGCGGCTGAAGGGAGTTCATGCCAAGCCGAAGGATCGATGTGCGGGGCTGGGGTTGGGGAGGGCGCAAGGCAGAGGTGGGGCGGGCGCAGCCCCACTGGACGGACCGTGGGAGCTGGCTGGCCTCTTCCCCTATCGTGAGTCCGTGGCACATGCCCAAACTGGACGGCCCCCGGCTCAGGTGACGTCCAGCAGGGCCGAGCCGGTCCGGGCCGGTCGGGGGCCCTCGGTGCCAGCTGAGGGACTGGGCACGACGCCCTGCCGAGGCCAGCGCTCCGGAGGGGGGCGGAGTCCCGTTCCACCCGTCCCCGGCGCGGACTGTGCCCTCCGAGGACACGCGCACCGCGAGGGTAGGGCTAGGGCCGGGCTTCTCTGGGGCAAAGATCAAGGTCTCGGCCTGGGGTAGGTCCCCTCGCATTCCAGTAGTCAGGACCCGGACTCTGGGGAGGGCGTAACGGAACCCCAGCGGCTGCTCCGGGCGGAGCGCGATAACCCGCGCCACCTGCGACGGAGGAGGAGCTCAGCGTGCTTTCCCGCCCAGGGCGGAGTCACCGGGCCCTGAGACACGCCCTCGGGACCCAACCTCTCTCCTGCGCTCTGTCGGGGCGGAAGTTCAGAAGCCCCGAGAAAGCAGGCGGCGGAAGTGGTCGTTGTACTGGGCGCTGGTGCGCATGCGCCCAGCTGCTGCTTTGCCGGCGCTCCTTAGTCGCTGTTTTTTTTTTTTTTTCTTCAATCGCTGCGACTCGTTTTTCCGCGCAGGAAGGAGGGCTGATTCCTAGTCGTGGCCTCGCGTTCCGCGTTCCTACGGTTCTCGTGACCCGCTCACGATGGCGGGCATCCTGTTCGAGGATATTTTCGATGTGAAAGACATTGACCCCGAAGGCAAGAAGTTTGACCGAGGTAAGCTGTGTGTCTGGAGGGGATTCTGGAGGAAGAAGTGGCTTCCTCGGGGACACACCCCTGGGCGCCAGCGCACGTGGCTTGCCCTGAAGTGGGGGCCTCTCCCGGACGCCTCTGCTGGGTGGGTTAGGCCGAGGGCCCGAGCCCTCCGTGGCCGTCCGGGCCGTGGCCGCCCGGGGCCGTGGCAGCAATCGCCTCACATGCACACCGTGCCTTGTCTGGTCCTCCAGGGAGACAGGGGCCTCCGGGAGGCTCAGTGTTGCACGCAGAGCTGGCTTGGGCGGCTGTGTTCCGGTGTGGCCTCCAGCTGAGTGATGTGTAGGCTTCTTGTGCGGGCGCTGATCAGGTCTGGGTCCTCCCTGGTGCCTAGTATTTTTCAAAACGGACGCCAGGCAGTACGTCTTGGCACAGGGGTGAAGCCAACTTGCCCAGAGCCAGCTTCTCCATCACCCAGGCGGTGCCTAGAGCTCTGTTATGCACTGCCAGGGAATTGCACTTGGGGCGTGGGGGTCGTCCATTCATTTGCCGTGTTTTTTGTTCTTCTTGCATATCCAGTTTTGCTTGAGCCTACATTTTGTTGATGATTTGAAAGGCAAAACCCAAGTGGACCCAGGTCTGAAGCCAAGCTGCCATGCTGCAGCTGCGACCCTGATACAGGATGCCTGTTATAAACAGCAGCTTTACTACTTTTTTTTTTTTTTAAGATTTATTTTATTTTTATTGGAAAGTCAGATAAACAGAGAGGAAGATCTTCCATCCGATGATTCACTCACTCCCCATGTGAGTGTAACGGCTGGTGCTATGCCGATCCAAAGCCAGGAACCAGGAACTTCTCCAGGTCTCCCACGCGGGTGTAGGGTCCCAAGGCTTTGGGCCATCCTCGACTGCCTTCCTAGGCCACAAGCAGGGAGCTGGATGGGAAGTGGAGCTGCTGGGATTAGAACTGGTGCCCATATGGGATCCCGGTGTGTTCAAGGCACGGACTTTAGCCACTAGGCCACACCGCCGGGCCCTACTTCTTTTTTTTTTTTTTTAATTTGTCTGTTTTTTCTTTTTTTTTTTTAAGATTTATTTATTTTATTACAAAGGCAGATATACAGAGAGGAGGAGAGACAGAGGAAGATCCTCCGTCCAATGATTCACTCCCCAAGTGAGCGCAACGGCTGATGCTGCGCCAATCTGAAGTCAGGAACCAGGAACCTCCTCCAGGTCTCCCACGCAGGTGCAAGGTCCCAAGGCCTTGGTCTGTCCTCGACTGCTTTCCCAGGTCACAAGTAGGGAGCTGGATGGGAAGTGGAGCTGCTGGGATTAGAACTGGCTCCCATATGGGATCCCGGTATGTTCAAGGTGAGGACTTTTGGCTGTTAGGCCATTACGCCGGGCCATAATTTGTCTATTTTCAGTGGAAAAGCAGATTTGCGGAGAGAAGGAGACACAGATCTTCTGCCTGCTGCTGGCTTTCTCCCTAGGTGGCCACAACAGTCAGAGTTGAGCTGATCTGGAGCGAGGAGCTTCTTTATCTCCTATGTGGGTGCAATTAAGGCCAAGTCCTTGGGCTAGCCTCTGTTGCTTTACCAGGAGCATAAGAGGGAGTTGGATTGAAAGTGGAGCAGTTGGACCTGGTGTAGTAGCCTAGCAGCTAAAGTCCTTGCCTTGTAAACGCCACTGGCATCCAATACGGGCATTGGTTCTAATCCCGGCGGCTCTACTTCCCATCTAGCTCCCTACTTGTGGCCTGGGAAAACAGTAGAGGATGGCCCAAAGCCTTGGGACCCTGCACTCGTGTGGGAGACCTGGAAGAAGTTCCTGGCTCCTGACTTTGGATCAGCCCAGCTCTGATTGTTGCGCTCACATGGGGAGTGAATCATCAGACGGAAGATCTAACTCTGTCTCTCTTTCTCTCTGTATATCTGACTTTCCAGTAAAAATAAATAAATCTTAAAAAATGAAAGTGGAGCAGTTGAGACATAATCTAGCAGTCATGTGGGATGCGAGTGCCACAGGCAGAACCTTTACCCATCACACCATAGCACCAGTCCCCAGTTCTATGAGCAGAGCAGATTAGCTGAAATAGTGTATTGCCTGGAATCCCCAGTTGGGGCTGTTAGAGTTAGCCTGGACTTGGTATCACCTGTCAGTCTTCCTCCTCTTCCCCAGTATCTCGACTGCACTGTGAGAGTGAATCTTTCAAGATGGACCTCATCCTCGATGTAAACATTCAGATTTACCCCGTAGACTTGGGTAAGTGTGGGACACAGAGAATTGGAAAAGGCTTTTTCCTATTTCTCCTCTTCTTTACCTTCAGATATTGCTGTTATTTTCAGGGGACAAGTTCCGGTTGGTCATAGCTAGTACCTTGTATGAAGATGGTACCCTTGATGATGGTGAATACAACCCTACAGATGACCGGCCTTCCAGGTAAGGAGTGGAGACGGGAGTAGCTGCACTACACCCCCAGGATAAGTGGTAGAGAAGGACTATTTAAATCTTGGACTAAATACCATCAGAATTTGAGTAATCTTAAGGAAATAGCTGCACTTAAGAGTTCAAACAGGGGCCTATGCAGTGGCTCAGTTGGCTAATCCTCAGCCTGCAGCACCAGCATCCCCTGTGGGTGCCAGTTCATGTGACAGCTGTTCCACTAAACACCTAGCTCCCTGGTTAGGGCCTGGGAAAGCAGTGGAGGATGGCCCAAGACCTTAGAATACTGCACCTGTGTGGGAGACCCAGAGGGCGCTCCTGGCTTCCGATCGGCTCAGCTCCAGCTGTTGAGACCATCTGGGGAGTGTACCAACCATGGAAGATCTTTCTTTCTGTCTCTCCTTCTCTCTGTAAATCAGCCTTTCCAATAAAAAAGGAATAATTTTTTTTTTTAAGATTTATTTATTTTTATTGGAAAGGCAGATATATAGAAAGAGGAGGAGAGACAAAAGATCTTCCGTCCAAGATTCACTTCCCAGGTGACCGCAACAGCCGGTGCTGTGCCGATCCAAAGCCAGGAACTTCTTCCAGGTCTCCCACGCAGGTGCAGGGTCCCAAGGCTTTGGGCCATCTTGACTACTTTCCCAGGCCACAAGCAGGGAGCTGGATGGGAAGTGGAGCTGCTGGGATTAGAACCGGCACCCTTATGGGATCCCGGTGTGTTCAAGGTGAGGACTTTTAGCCACTAGGCCACACCGTCGGGCCCAAGAAATGAATCTTAAAAAAAATAAAAGTTTAAATAACTGATGGAGTTGGTATGTGATATAGCAGGTTAAGTTACCTATGTCAATGTTGATTCATTCCTGGTTCCCTGTATGCCATCTAGCTTCCCAGTAATGTAACTGGAAAGGCAGTGGAGGATGACCCAAGTGCTTGTGTCTCCTGCCACCTGTGTGGGATACTTGAATGGAGTTCCAGAAACCTGACTTTGGCCTGGCATAGACCTGGCTATTTGGGCCGTTAGAAAAGTGGAGCAGTGGATAGACAATCTCTGTTGCTCTGTTTTTCAAATGAATAGATAAATTAAAATGAAAACAAAACATAAAAAACTGTCAATAATGTAATGATTACGGACTTGAGAGTAGCAGTCTTTTTAAATTTTTTATTGGAAAGGCAGATTTACAGAAAGAGAGAGAGAAAGGTTGTTCATTTGCTGGTTCATTCCCCAAATGGCTGCAACTGCTAGAGCTGAGCTGATCTGAAGCTGGAATCTAAGATATTCTTCTGGCTCTCTCATGAGAGTGCAGAGGCTCAAGCACTTGGATCATTCTCTGCTGCTTTCCCAGACCTTTAGGAGGAAGCTGGATGAGAAGTGGAGCAGCCAGGACACGAACTGGCACCCATATGGAATGTTGAGGCTGCAGGCGGAGATTATCTTGTTACATCACCACACCAGCTGCTACCTGTTCCATTTCCAACGGGTCTGTTTTATACATGCATGCACACACACACATATATACACACACATTTTATTTACTTTGAAACTCAGAGTGGAGACAGAGTGAGAAAGATCAATCTTCCATCCATTGATTCACTCACCAGATGGCCACAATGACCAGTGCTGGTTCAGGCTGAAGTCAGGTGGCAGGAAACTCAGCTGGTCTCTAATGTGGGTGACAGGAGCCCAAACACTTGGGCTGTTTTTTTTTTCCCAAGCCAGTAGCAGAGAGCTGGATTAGAACTGGAAGAATGGTGCCCACATGGGATGCTGGCATCACAGGCGCCAGCTTTACTTACTATTCCACAGTACTAGCTCCTATTTGTTTGTTTAAGATTTTTTTTTAATATGTATTTATTTGAAAGGCAAAGCAGTGCTCGCTTCAGCAGCACGTATACTGAAAGGCAAATTTATAGAGAAAAGGAGAGACAGAAAGATCTTCATCTACTGGTTCACTGCCCGAATGACCATAATAGCGAGGGTTGGGTCAGTGTGGGGCCTGGAGCTCCATCTGGCTTTGCCACATGAGTAGCAGAGCTCCAAGTACTTGGGACATTCTTTTCTAGTTTTCAGGCACATTAATAGGGAGCTGGATTGAAAGTGGAGCAGCCAAGAGTTGAACCAATTGCTTCTAGGCCTTTTGGCTAAGATCAAGTGAAGAGTTGAACCAGTGCTCATGTGGGATGCTGACATTGGCAGGTGGTGGCTTAATTTTGCATGCCACAGCACTTCCCCAAGATTTATTACTATTTATTTGAAAGGCAGAATTAGAAAAAGAGGGACAAAAGGGGTGTTCCATTTACTGGTTCACACTTTCCTTGACAACAGCTGGAGTTGAGTCAGGCTGAAGCCAGAAGCCTAGAACTCCAGTCAGATCTCTTATGTACCCAAGTTGCCAGGCACATTAGCAGGGAGCTAGATTAGAAGTAGAGCACCTGGGGCCCGGCGGCGTGGCCTAGTGGCCAAAAGTCCTCACTTTGAACATGCCGGGATCCCATATGGGTGCTGGTTCTAATCCCAGCAGCTCCACTTCCCATCCAGCTTCCTGCTTGTGGCCTGGGAAAGTAGTCAAGATGGCCCAAAGCCTTGGGACCCTGCACCCATGTGGGAGGCCTGAAAGAAGTTCCTGGATCCTGGCTTTGGATTGGCATAGCATCGGCCGTTGCGCTCACATGGGAAGTGAATCATTGGATGGAAGATCTTTCTCACGGTCTCTCCTCTCTGTATATCTGCTTTTCTAATAAAAATAAATAAAACTTAAAAAAAAAAAAAAAAGAAGAAGAAGTAGAGCACCTGGGACTAGAACCAGCACTCTTATGGGATGGGCAGTGTTGCTGGCTGTTGTTTAAGCCGATGCACCACAGCACCAGCCCCTATTGTATTGTGAGTTTTTCTTAACTGCTGGGCCTGGCGTGGTAGCCTAGTGGTTAAAGTCCTTGCCTTGCATGCCTCAGAATTCTATATGAGTGCCGGCTCATGTCCTGATGGGCCTGCTTCCCATCTAGCTCCCTGCTTGTGTCCTGGGAAAGCAGTAGAGGATGGCCCAAAGCCTTGGGACCTTGCTCCTGTGTAGGGGACCCGGAAGAAGCTTCTGTCTCCTGGCTTCAGATCGGCTCAGCACTGGCCATTGTGGTCACTTAGGGAGTAAATCAATGGACAGAAGGTCTTTGTCTCTCCTCCTCTCTGTATATGTGATTTTTCCAATTAAAAAAAAATCTTCAAAAAAAAAAAAAAGATAACTTTGCCACTTCTGTTCCACAGGGCTGACCAGTTTGAGTATGTTATGTATGGGAAAGTGTACAGGATTGAGGGAGACGAAACATCTACAGAAGCAGCAACACGCCTGTAAGTCCACGGTCACGTATGTGGATCCTTTCTCCACCCTGCTGTTCTGAGAGTTTGGGCCACATTCCTGCTTTCTGTGCTTCAGCCCCCTACCCCCGCCCCCTCCCGTCTCCTGCCCCCCTCTCCCCTGCTCCGAAGCAGTTCAGACCTGAGGCAGAGCTCGGCCTCTGTTGGGACCTCAAGACTCAGGGGTCCTCGCGTGGAGAAGAGGTGCTTTCCCGAAGTGAAGGCAGCAGTAGGTGACTACACAGGCAGCCTGTTGTGGGCTTTGTGTGTGTGTGTGTTTCCCTGCTCTGTAACCCAATCTCTGATTCTTTGGCTTCCCTGCCCAAGTATTTTCTCTCTTCTTTAAAATCTTATTAAAACAATATGTGTTCCTTTTAAGAAATTTGAAAAGCGGAGATGTAATATGAAGAAGGAAAAAGTCACCTATAATTCTCTAGCCAGAGAGAAGCTTTTCATGTAAACATTTCTGGATAGTCTAGCTCACTTTTTTTTTTTTTTTTAAGATCACTTTGTTTATTACAATGTTCTGCTCGTTTTGCTTCCTGTTGCGTAAGATATGTTTCCCCATGGCAGTTTAAAGCTTTTCCTGAGCATGTTGATAGCTGCATGACATTCCGGGAAACGAATCCATTTTAATTCACTTGACTGTTCCTCTAGTTTGAGGCATGTAGGTGCTTTCCACCTTCACTGAAGTAAAGAACATGGCCTTGTATACATCTGTGCACCCATATCTGCACTCTGGTTCCTAACAACAAAGCAGCAAACAGCTGCCCCTTCCCTGTCTCAGGCTGGGATGCAGAGCTGCTGAGCAGCGGCTGCTCCAGGCCACAGACTTATGGGACTGGCACCTTCCATTTCAGCTCTGCCTACGTGTCCTATGGGGGTCTGCTCATGAGACTGCAGGGCGATGCCAACAACCTGCACGGGTTTGAAGTGGACTCCAGAGTGTATCTGCTGATGAAGAAGCTGGCCTTCTAAAGCTTGCAGGAGGCCTGCTTGCGGGAGGTTTGCTGCTCACTCCTCAAGGTCGTGGATCGTGTCCAAGCCCCCGTGGCAGGTGCTGCTGTTCACCTGTAAAGGAGGGGCCGGCTCTCCGTCTACCGTGGCTGCGTCCTTAGCTAGCGGTCTGCACTCCCTGAGACATGGACTTGCCTGTGAATCGCTCAGGGGGAAAGTGTGAAATGCATCACAGATTGTTTTGTGTGTGTGACTTTTTTTTAATTAAACAAATTTTTTCAGACTCTCCCCTCCCTTTTCTTTTTTTTAAGCTTCCATTTACTTTACAATCATCTTGTCCTGTTTGTCTGTTTGTCTTGTTTCTGGCTCCCATCCAGGTGATCAAGTATTATCAATGTAAGGATCCCAGAACTTTGTGGAACTTTGAACGAAGTAGTTTTTGGTGTCTGAGTGCAGGGTTTTCTGTTTTTGGACTGACTTGTTCCTGCTTCTATCTTCCAGTGTGGTTTTCTGTCTGGGGAGGAGTAGGGGGAGAGTGTTGTGCTTTGACTCCGAGGGGAGCACCCCAGACCCAGAAGACACCGCCCATTTGACACAGGTTTTGAATTGGCGAGGTGCCCGGCCTTCCAGCACTTGTAGTCTCTTAGGAAGTCAGCTCATGTTGATGTGAAGGAATCGCTTGCATAGCCCGGGAGTGCCTATCAGAGGCTTTTAGACACAGGGCATGAACACAGCGACTGTGACACAGCAGGGAGGACATGGGTGTGGAAGCAGGTGGAGGAGCTGGCTTCCTGCTCGTTGTTCCACTGGTGGTAGCATGGGAGGAGGGTAAATGGTAACGATTCTGACTAGTGGTCCCTGCTGCCCACATACCAGCGAGATGGCAGAGCAGCCATACCAATGAGGTTGGCCGGCCTGCACTGCAGCAGTGCAATAGCTGGATGGCAGTCACTGCCTTACAAGTGGGGGAAGAAGGAGTTAAGGAAGTGGTGGTAATTACAGGATTCCAGCACAGGAGGCAGCTCTTCATTTTGGTATTAGAGGTTCCCCAAGAAAGCACATTATATGCAACTGTGGTTTCCCCCTTGGAGATTCAGGGTAGCAATCCCAGGATTGTCTGTGTTCTAAGCAGTCAATCTGCTGGTTTTGCCGCCTGAGCTTGCCTCCTGCTGGGACACCTGGGACAGTCCCTTTCGCCATCATTTTCAGGTCTTTATGTGAGGTGTTAGAAATGATCTTTAGCGAAATGGGTTGAAAATGGTTGGCCTCAGCAGGGAGGGGACAAGGTGTGCTTGTTTGACTTCACAGTGGGTTGGGGGTGGTAGGTGGGAGTGGAGTTGGAGCCAGAGATGTATGGGGGTTGGATGTGTCTGGATGGAATTCTAGAACCTTTCTACAGCTGCCAGGTTTTTCTCCAGTGAAACTTTGTGCATGTGTTGATTCCTTCCCCATGGCAACCCATTCTGTCCATGAGGGGAGAGAAGGACATGTGGAGATAGGTTCTCTACTCAGAAGCTTTCAGTTGCTGATGTTCTGACCCACTAAGGGCCAGGAACTCTGTCCCAGTACTTGGAAGTACTGTGTGATATATTGGACACTACCACGCTGAGCAGAGTGGACTCTGCAGAGACTAGGGTGTTTCTTCTGCTGCTTGTAGGCTGTGTGGCTAGGGGGAACTCACCTGGCCTCCTGAGACAATACTACCCACCACAGAGTTGTGGGGCCATGAAAGAGGTAAAGGGCCTAAGGCTCCTGGCACATTGGTTTTCTGTGCACAGTTTTACTACTTTTGGTGATCCTGGGGGATTATTTGGAACTCTGGCTTCCTGCCCTCTACAGGGGAGCCTTTCCTTTGGGGTGACTAAAGGAAAGGGCTGCCACGCAAGACAGCATGTGGACTTCTATCCTGGAGGCCTAGCACCAAGGCACCACTTCCTCATGATAGGCCCAGCAAGCCACCTGGCCTTCTTAGTTTCTAGCCATCCGCAAGGCCCAGTGGATGGTGCTCCCACAGGGTTGCCTTTGAGATGCACTTGCGGGAACTGGGAAACTTGTCCTTGCACTTGTCCTGCTGTGTGAGCACCAGGAGCCTCCTGCCACTTCCTGCATTCCCCCTGACCTCCACAGGAGGGAGGCAGGAGCCCACTTGCCAGGCTGGGCCTCCTGCCAGGCTGCTGAAGCAGCAGCTGTTTGCTCAGCTGCCCCAGTCAGTTCTATGCTGTAAGGAAACCTGGGCACAGCCTTACCTTGGGGGCTGGGTGGTGGTGGTGGTGGTAGAGTGGGGGGGTGAAGCTCTAGGGGGTTCCTGTTGGTTTTCTTGGTATGTGTCTGCTCTCTGGAGCAGCACCTTTCCCTTGCCTTTGGGTTGGCTGCTGGGTGCCCCCTTCGACAGGCTCAGCTCTGCTGCGTACAGCCTCCAGAGTCTTTCTGAGACAACCAGTAGATCACTAAAGAGTAAGGAACTCAAGGACAAAGGCTCCTACCCCTGGGAACCACAATGAAAGAGGCTGGGCCACTGGAGGGCCTTCCCTAGGAGGCAGAAGAGGCTGTCTTTCTGTATCTTCTGATAGATTAACCTGGCCTCTGTTCAAAGGCAGGACCGGTTCAGACCTTTCCAGAATTGTATGGAAAAGTGTATAGTACATTCATGAGATGGAAAGTTGTGTGCAGAAAACAGACCAAAAGAGATGACCAGCTGCTCTCATGAACATCATTGATAGCTTAAAAAAAATAGTAGCTTCTTTAGGTTTATAATGTACAGTGAAAAAAACTGTCCCCTTTGGGTTTGGCTTTTGGTTTTAGGTGGGAGCAGGACGTGTGGTCTGACCTCAGTTGGCCATTGCCCAGGATGTCTCTCCCTGGGAGGGAGTGGCAGGTAAGAGACAACAGCCCGTGTTGGCAGTGTCCAAGTCCTTTAGCCTCCCTGAGACAGATTCTGGGAGTGAGGGTGGATTGCAACTGGAAGAGGACTGGTAGGCTTGGCTGTTGGAGCAGGAAGGACTGTTGGTACAGTTGACTGTTGGTGCAGCTGGACCGTGGGGCTGGGCAAGGTTAGGGATTGTGGGGAGGGTGGGTACTGTCCAGGAGGATTCTGGGTTGGAGAATATCTGGACTGGAAGCCCGGTGGCAGGGAACCTGTGTCCCAAGTCTCTACAGTGCTGATGGAGGATCCTAGAGTCCTGGGAGAGAGTCCAAGAAAGAGTCCCCAAGTTCCATTCCAGGGTCCATGGGTCCTGTTCAAGTGTGCAGGCACGTGGTCCAGGGTTTGGTTGAGCAGGCCAGGTATCTGGGCCCCGAATGCCCGCAGCCTGTCCAGAAGTCCAGAGCCAGCAGTTCTGGCTGTGACCCTGGAGGTGCTCTCTGACAGCCCAGAAGTCCTGTTTGGCAGCTTGTTTGGGGTGAGGACCCAAGGGATGCTGCTGTGGCCTGGCATAGTGGAGGTGGGCGGGACCCGCCTGGTGCACAGGGTGGGGCCCGCCACAAGCAACAGGAAACGCACCTTGCCTTGGAGCAGTTGTTGGAAGTTCAGGAAGATGGCGTTGGGATCCTTGTGAGCGGTGGTCCTGCTCTGTGGAGGAAGCTGAGGGCAGAGGGTGGGCCTGAGGCTAGAGACCAGGTACTCCCTCGTCTACCTGGGAAAGAGGCTGCCAGCACCTCCTGGCCTTCTTTCTAGGAGGAACAGTCCCGAGTGGACCAACTCTTGGGCCCTTGAGATCTTGGGAGCACCCTGGGCTCCTTCAGATCCTCCATACGGACCGAGTCAAACAGGAACAGGCTCTGTCGATTGTTTGACTGTAGGCTTACCTGGGTTCCCAGCAGGCCTTGCAAGGCACCAAGGAGGAGGCGGACCTGTCCAGAAAGCTGTCCCAGCAGGGCTGAGAGGCAGGTGGGTCCCAACTGTCCTCTTGCCGTCATCACTGCCTCCAACAGAAGAGTCACTGCTCCCAGAAGGTCCTGGGCTTTGCTCTGCTCCTGGGAAAGTGATGGAAAAGAAGTGTGGACTGCTTCAAAGGGCATTCTAAGAGTGGGTGGGGAGCCTGTAGGAGTAGCCAGCAGGATGAATCATAGGAGCCAAGAACCGGACAGGACCACGGTCCCACCCAGTGCAGGAATGCCTCACAGTCTCCCGACAATTGGTCATCTGCCTTGGCTTCAGGAACTCCAGTGTCCACTAACCCAGCCTTGTCTTACAACCTACGGAAAAAAGTTCTCTCATTCTCACTTAAGTCTGCCCTAGGATGGCTTTCACATTTGGGTTCTAGTGCTGCAAATCTATTCTACTTGCTACAAAATCTTAGGCTCATAAAATTTGTAACGTAAAGGTGGAGATGGGACCCCTCACAATGACCATTAAGTCAAAGAGAAGGGACTTAGGAATGGATGGGAGAGCTGCAACCACAAAGGCCCATAGGATCTGCCCTTTTCTCTGGCCCAGGGGCCCTGGAATAGCTAAGGAAACAGCTTCTGGGCCTCTGGCGGGTGGGAGGGTTGACTTACCAACAAGGGCTCCTACTCAGAGATGTCCTGAGCTCCAGGCTGGAGTGTTGCCTGCTCAATCATGAGACAGCCACTTTTCCCCAAGCTAATCAGACAGGTTTTTTTTTTTTTTTTCTTAACCATTCCTCAGAACATTTCTCCAATCTCTCACCCATATATGAGTGTCCCAGCTGCTTTGCATCTGATTCAGCTCCCTGCTAATGCCCCTGGGAAGGCAGCAGAGGGTGGCCTAAGTACCTGGGCCCCTGGCATCCACAGAGGAGACCTCTATTAAGCTCCTGGCTTTGGCTTGGCCCAGTTCTGGTATCTGCAGGCTTTTGGGAAGTAATCCAGCATATGGAAGATTTGTCTTTGTTCCTTTCCCTTGGTAATTCTGCCTTTTAAATAACTAATAGTTATTTTAAACAATACAAGTAAGGGCTGGTGCTGTGGCATAGCTGATAATGACGCTACCTGTGTAGCTACTCTGGTTTGAGTCCTAGCTGCTTCACTTTCTGATCCAGATCCAGCCATCTTCCTCCTAACACAGCTGGGAAAGCAATGGAAGATGGCCCAAGAGCTTGGCCCCCGCTACCTACATGGGAGACCTGAATGAAGCTGCTGGTTTTGGACTAGCTCAGTTCCAGCCATTTTACCTTTTGGGAAGTGAACCATATGGTACAAGATCTTCCTCTGTCTTTTTGTGTAACTCTGCCTTTCAAATAAATAAATACTTAATTAAAAAATAGCAATCAAGATTTCTTGTTGTTTTTAATCATTTTTTAAAAGTTTGTTTATTTGGGCTCGGCGCCGTGGGCTAGTAGCTAAAGTCCTCTCCTTGAACATGCCAGGATCCCATATGGGCGCCGATTCTAATCCTGGCAGCCCTGCTTCCCATCCAGTTCCCTGCTTCTGGCCTGGGAAAGCAGTTGAAGATGGCTCAAAGCCTTGGCACCCTGCACCCGTGTGGGAGATCTGGAGAAGTCCCTGGCTCCTGGCTTTGGATTGACATAGTACTGGCCGTTGCAGTCACTTGGGGAGTGATTCATTGGACAAAAGATCTTCCTCTCTGTTTCTCCTCTCTTTATATCTGACTTAGCAATAAAAATAATTTTTTTTTGAAGTTTGTTTATTTAGAAGGCAGAGACAGAGAAATTCTTCATCCACTAGATTACTTCTCAGCTGGCCATAATAGTGAGGGTATAGCCAGGCATTCCAGGAGTCCTAAACTCAATCTGGGTCTACCCTGTGGATGACAGGTACTCTAGTACTTGAACCATTATTTGCTTCCTCCCAAGATGTATATCCAGAGGAAGGTAGAATTGCAAATAGAGATGGGACTTGAACCCAGATACCTGATAGGAGATGCAGTCCCTCAAACAGCAGCTTAACCCCTGCAACAAGTGTGGGCCTTCATCATTGCTAGCTTTCAAAACAGCTGCTTTAATAATGTGACATGCTCCCCAGCTGTAGGCAACTGCCTAGGTTGCTTTGTACTTGGGCAAGTGTTAACACTGCTGGGAGAAAAGCAGCCAATAGCTGGCAAACATTCTGGACCTGGTTAATACTCAATCTGTGTTAACTATACCATTATACCAGTATTGTTGCCTATTTGTTTTCAAAGTTATATGGAGAAGACAGGGAATGTAGGGCCAGGGCATGCCACCACTCTGGCTCCCAGGCCAGGGTTGAGGGTTGGGTACAGATTGCCTGGGGAGGGGTGTCTGGGGATGGATTGGAGTGGGTGCCACTGAAGGTGCCATTGACAGGGCAGGAATGACTTCAGGTGGCTTCCATGGATTGGGCCACTGCACTTGTAGGTAGGTGAAGGAGCTGAGACCAGGTGGTTTAGAGGAGGAGAAAACAGAGGGCATGTCTGTGTCAGGCCAAGGCACCAGCCCACATGGGAGAGCTGGGCAGTGTTGGGTTAAATAACATCACTTGCGTCTGTCTATCATGCAAAAGCTAGGGCTAGGGGTGTGCCTAGCTGAGCTACGCCTCAGCACCCGCCCACAAGAGTCAGAGCAGGGGGTGAGCTATGTCAGGCTGGGCCACAGCACATACCAGAACACAAGAGAATCAATTATGGGGGCAGATTCTGTAGGAGACTTGTGGGCTCACTTCAGCAGGACTACAGCACCTGCTGGTTTGCATAGAGAAGGTGGGATGGTAATGAGCAGAGCCAGGCTGAACCATAGAACTCACCTGACACTTGGGGCAGGGGGAGGGTGGAGTTGAGGGTGTATCAGGCTGGACAAGGCTGCCGCACCCACAGGCATGCATGTGTCCTGGGCTTGGGGGCAGGACATATTGGGCTAGACTCCAGCACCCACTGGTGCTCACAAGAGCCAGACTTGATGTAAGATAAGCCAGGCTAGGCTATGATACCCACTGGTTCACATATGAGCCAATTCTGGGGGTAGGCTAGGCTGTGGCACTCATCAGCAAGAGCCAGAATATGTGCAGGGCACTCAGGCTAGGCTGCAGTTCCTGCCAGCATGTGCAAGATCTGGGGCTGGGAGCAGGCCTTCTAGGAGAATTTCTGCTAGGTTGTAACTCCCACTGATGAGCATGAGAACCGGGGCTGGGAGCAGGCCAGGCTGAGTTGCAGCCCTTGTCAGCATATGCATGAGCTAGGTCTGTGGGTAGGCTGGTCTGGACCAGTCCATAGCACACACTGCACAAGCCAGAGCTAGGTTGGGGGGCAGCCCAGGCTAGGTTGGACCACAACACCTCCCAGTTCACACGAGGGCTGGGAATGGGCAAGGCTGGGCTTGCTGCACCCACCCAGTGAGAGCTGGGACTGGGGGTGGCCAGGCTGAAGCAACTGCCAGTGAATGCTAAGACTGGGATAGGCCATCTCAAACTGGGCCATAGCACTCACTGGCATGCACAAGACCTGGGGCTGGGAATATGCTGGTATGGGAACTTCATGGATGCCTTTGCTAGGCTGCTGTTTCCACTGGTGAGAGTGAGAGCTGGGACTGGGTATGAGCTGAGCTGGGCTTTTACACCCATTAGCAAGTGCTGAGACTGGGTGTAAGTCATGTCAAGCTGGACAGCAAGTACTCTCTGGTAGGGGAATTATGAGTACTCCCCTCCTGGACTGCAGCTTCTGTTGGTGAGCATGACAGCCAGGGCTAGGGGAGTGGGCCAGGCTGGTCAAGGCAGCAGCACTTATGAGCATATATGTAGGCCGGGTTTGGGGGCAGGTTGGGCTGAATTAAATTGCAGCACCCATGGGTGTGCATGAGAGATAGATGAGATGCAGGATGGACTAGGCTAGGCCATAGCACATTCTGCTACACGCAAAACCAGGGCCAGGGGTGGGCCTGGTGAGGGTTATTGGGGGTTGCTTCAATGCTGTTGTGCTTTTGTGAAGACTGGGCCTGTGCTGGGCTGGGCTGAGCCACAGCCCCCATCAGTTTCTGTTGGGGCAGAACTGATCAAGCAGCTGTATCTACCAGTATGCACTGATGGTACAGGTGACAGACTGAACCTGAACCTGTGCTAGCTGGTACACATGAGAATCAAGTCTGAGGTCACCTCAGGTGAGACTCTCGGGGAGATTACCCAACTAGATGGCTGGACTCAAACCCCAGCTACAGGGAAAATCACAAAGTGTGTGGTCTGACCTTGAAGTGCATGTATTAGGACTGGGCCTCAGTTGCTGATGCCTGAGCAGTGGCCAACATGGTTAGATGCACACGGGGGACATGACAGCCAGCTCTTCTAGCTTAGCAGAGTGCTTCGTCAGAGAATGGAAAGTAGAACGTTGGACAACTTTCCTGAACAAGCTTTGCAACGTGTTCCTGGGCCTGTGGATGCACTAAGGTAAACTTGGTCAGCCAACAGATGTTAGAACAATTTTTTCAACCCTGGTGCAATAAACCCAACAATGTCTAAGAACTTTCAAAACCATTCAAGTAACACACTTGGAACACTCTGGGGTCTCTAAAGGCATCATCAAATAACTGTCCCTCATCCTGATTTATCATGACTGATTTGGTTTGACAGCAAGGAGTTGCCTCCTTCCCTTACACCCATTGTGGAACACAGGAGAAAAAAAAGTTGAAACTTTTGTCTCACGCATCTTCTCCATACCTCAACCCTCTCCACTCACATGAGCATGAATCCCTCTCAACTATGTAAACAATCTTTAAAATAAAAGGAAAAAGAAAAAAATGATAATGTGACATTGTAAGTTCTGGACCAATTTAACACTCCTAAATCTTTTTCAAAGGAAGTGCTTAGGGCTAGAATATTAAATGAAGGAAGCAGGAAATCCTGACCTGAAAGCTGAATGGGGTTTACTTTTTTGGGGGGGAGGGGGTTACGTTTTAATTTCACTTTGATTTTGTAAAAAAATCGTTACCTTTTAAAAATTGATATGCTTAGTCTCTTTTATATTTATAGAAACTTATTTGAGAGAGAGACAGTCAAATACATGGAGATAATGCCCATTATCTGGTTTGCTCTTCAACTACAATAGCCAAAAGGAGGTAGGTAAGGACAGAAGCTGGGAACTGCAAACTCAGTCCCAACCACTGGGGCAATCACTAGTAGGAAGCTGCATTCAGGAGCTGGAGGAGTGAACTGAAACCAGACAGGAACATGAGTCTCACAGGCTAGGCAAAATGCCAGTCCCTTCAGCTTGGTTTTCCTTCCAGCCATTTTAATTTTTATTCCATTTTTTTGTTTTATTTTAGTGGTGCTTTTTAGCCTTTTGTCATCTGTGGATGACAGATCACTCTTCTGAGGGAGAGATCTTCTATCTGCTGGCTCACTCCCCAAATGGCCACAACAGATAGAGGTCTGGGCCAGATCTGAAGCCAGGAGCCACAAGTTTCTTCTGGGTCTCCTACAGGAGTAGAGGGTCCCAAATGCTTGGGCCACCCTCTTTTGCTTTCCCAGGCACAGGACAAGGCTGGATCAAAAGTAGAGCGCCTGGGACTTGAGCTGATGCCCATATGGGATGCTGGTATCACAAGCAGAGGCTTACCTGCTATGCTATACAACAGCTCATCGTTCTTATTAATGCAAACTTATGAAGGTTAAGTGGGAATAGATCAAAAGTGTGGCCACGACAGACCTCTATTGGCTTTAAATGGTGTTCAGCGTTGAATCTCTTTAACATACTGAATTTATAGCTATCTGTCCATGGAATATCATCATGGCTGAATCCATGTAGATGGGATTAGGGTGGCTAAGCTGAAGGTGAGATATTTTTAGGGAGTTCAAGAATTTTGAAGATTTGGGATGTGGTACTATGGTATAGCTGGTTAAACTGCTGCCTGTAGCATCAACATCCCACATGTGTGCCCATTTGAGTCCCAGCTGCTCCACTTCCAATCCAATTCCCTGCTAATGTGCCTGGGATAGCATCAGAAGATGACCCAAGTAGAGATGCAGATGGAAAGCTCCTGGCTCCTGGCTTCAACCTGGACCAGCCCTGGATGATACAGCTATTTTGAGGAGTGAATTTATGGATGGAAGATTTCTGTCTCTCTTTCTAACTGCCTTTTAAATAAACCAATCAATCTTAAACAAGAAAGAATTTTGAATACCCCTTTGGGAAGGAGCAGAAGTAGATAGGACGGGGTGGGGGGGGGGAGCGGGTACCAAAGTAAGGGATGCCTTAATTCTTACCGTCTGAGTCTTCCATTCTCCCAAGCTGAAGTCTACAGCAGGCAGCAGGACAGGTGTGGACAAAGGGTTAACGTCTGGGCACTGGCTCTGTTGAGAAAGATTGGTGGGATAGAAGGAAGCTGATATTGGGGGGCGGTACAATGGCCCAATGAACAAGTGCCTAGATAGTCTTCAAACAGTCCCAATTATGTCCAGACTAGAATTTTTTCAAAAGGCTCTATGGCAAATCATGGTCCATATCAGGGGGTGGTTGTCAGTAGGCAGTGGTCTCACCAACACAATACCAGAGGCACAGTCATAAGGTAAAAGAGTGGGAGGGAGGCATCTTACCAGTTGAGTAGATAGAGGGACTAGTGCTTGGGAATTCTCACCAGTCTGCCGTGGAGGACATGGGCATCACGGAGCAGTTTATTTAGGAGTCGGGGGTCACAGGCGGGAGGAGCTGGGCTGGACAGAGTTAGTCTCGCAGTTAGGAGAAGCATGACCATGAGGAGCAGCTCTTAGATGACCAGAGGTGAGGTTGGAAGGTGGGGGTTGGGGAAGGATAAGGAAGAAATCATTGTCGGGTGGTGGCCCAGGAATTCCTCTTAGGAACCCAGAAACTTGGAGAGATAGGCAACTTATTCCCAGGATCCTGGGTTACCCCAGCCCCTCACCCCTACCTCCTCTGCAGCAAGTTTCTTTCCTATTCCTCCGCCAGGATCTGATCTGGTCCCAGCCCTCCCCCTTCCCACCCTAGCTTTGTGGCTTCTTACCAGTCAGCACCATTCTGGCCAGCGTGTCTGGCTGGAGTGGCTCCCTGAATGGGGCCAGTCCCCTGACTCCTTCCTGAGGCCATGGAGGCGGCTGGAGCTCTCGCACTTATGGGCAGAGTTGGGTGGGGCACAGCTAGGCCGGTGAGGAGGGTCTGGATTCTATCTTGAAAGTGACAGGGGAAAGTTGGTCAGGCAGGGGAACAGGTGCTGGCAGAGTGAGCCCTGAACAGCCCAGAATTTCAGCATGGAATGTGGATGCTCCAACCATTCCCATCATGGCTGCAGTTTCCCCTTTGTCAGATTCCCCAGTGAATCTGTACCTCTCTTCCCAAGCTGACCACAGCAGGATGGGGTGTACACACACACACACACACACACACACACCTTAATGGACCTCAAATTCTAAGCAACTTTGGTTCTCAGGTGAGAGAAAATGTGGGGCAGGGAAAGAGACTGCAAGTACTATGGCTTCAACCCTGAGCCAAGAGTGGGAGTGGGCTGCAGGGATGGGATGAGGGCTCGTAACCCTAGGCAAGTTTTGAACACGGCTTTGGTGCTGGGCAGTGGAGCTGGGGAGGTGAAAAGGAAACTGAGACTACCAGGGGTCAGGGCTTAGGAGGTGATGTGGGAAAAATTAATCTCCTGTTCTTTTCTTCTACTTATCCCCCACATATAAAGCTCTTGAAGGATTTTCTCGTTTGCACCTCAAACTCTAAAACAACTCCATTCTCTGTGACCAAAAGATGGGCCAGTAGTTCTGGGGCTTCCTGAGGCAAGTAGCCCAGGAATGGACACCTGCTGAGCAAGGCGATGCCAACCTTCCACGGCTGGCCTCACCTTACACACTCGCCAACATGTCTGTCTCATAGCCTGCACCTGCCTCCCCACCCCCTCTGCAAGCCCCTTCCGCCACAGGACCCCCCACAAGGCTTTCTTCTCCTTTCACAAGTTGTGCAAAGAGGCCAGCACCTGATTCAATATTGGGATTTCCTGTAGGTCTGTCAACATGCACCAGTCCTCCTCCTCCCACCCCTCTCTCCTGGTGCCCTAGCTGGCCCAACTCGGTTTCCCCTGCTCCAGAATCAGAACCTTAAGCCAGTAAGCAACGTTGGGAAAGAAGAGAGACCGAGGCTGTGTCCACCTTGGTACCATGTTCCCTATGCTCTAAATAGCCTTCGTTTCTTACATCCTCCCTGTGCCATGTCCCTGTTGTCTGGAATCAGGCAGGACTGTGCTGTGTGGGACTAGTCCCCCGGCACCCAGCACCCCACCCCCTACCCCTGCTCTGTACTGCTCCTCCCATTCTGGGAAGGCTCCACTCTTCTCGACAAAGGTCAGTAGCCTGTAGGTTCCAGTTTGCCTGCCCCTCCCCCCCCCAGCTGAAAGCCCAAGTCCTCTTTTCTGTCCTTCTTACCTTCACCCAACCGCAAACTCTGCTCCTCACTCAGCAGCTGGAGTAGGGCTCAAGGACCCAGGCACACAGCAGACAGTGCTTGCGGGAGCCGATGGGTGGGAAGACATGCGGCGCTGGGGTACGGCCCCTCCACGGCAGTGGGGTCACACGCCTGCCCCTGGACACTGCTGCCCAATCAGGGAGCAGAGGGCCAGCAGACACTGGCAAAGGCCCCCGGAAGTGACGCCTTTCTCTTCCACCCGCGCTGGACCTGGAGCCCCTGCCTGGCTGGACCATGGTCCACTAATGGAACCCAGCTCCTCCACCCCCACACATACACCGCTGGGAAGAATCCGTCCTCTCTTAGGAGATGGGAAGTCTGGGACCTGCCGCAGGAGGAGATGGGAAAGAAGCACAGGATCCTTCCTCAACCCCTCGCCCTCAAAGAGGAATCTGGCAGGACATTTCTGTCCTAGAGGTCTTGTCTTAGGTTGCTGTATTTGCAGCTCCTGGCTATCTCCACTTCTCCCTGGACTGCACACCTGCTGCTACCTCATGGACTTTTTTGTTTTAATATTTTTGAAAGATTTAGTTATTTTTATTGGAAAGTCAGATATACAGAGAGGAGGAGAGACAGAGAGGAAGATCTTCCGTCCGTTGATTCACTCTCCAAGTGACTGCAATAGCTGGAGCTGAGCCAATCCGAAGCCAGGAGCCAGGAACTTCTTCCGCGTTTCCCATGTGGGTGCAGGGTTCCAAGGCATTGGGCCATCCTCTACTGCATTCCTAGACTACAAGCAGGGAGCTGCCGGGATTAGAACTGGCACCCATATGGGATCCTGGTGTGTTCAAGGCGAGGACCTTAGCCTCTAGACCCCTCATAGACTCTTATTTTCTTACTTTGTTCTCCTAGGATTCCTTTCCCAAGTGGAGTTCTGGGTATGCGCTATGCTAGAGAACAATCTACTTAGGGGTCACGATATGGGGGAAGGCTTTGGACAGTTGGTGGGGAGATGGCACTGGAAAGATGGAGGCTGGGTGGAGCCCGGCCAAAGTCCACTGATCTTGGTGCCCATGTCCTCCTTTGCTCACCCTGCCTTGCTCCCTCTTTCCATCTCCTGCTGTCCCCCATGTGACAAGGGGAATAACTAGGCCCATGTGTCCCTGTGTTAGAAAGACAGCTGCTGAGCCTCTCTTGCCAATCCCTCCCTGCTGCCCCCCTTCTTTCTCTGGCCCTGGTTCTGTTCCTTTGCTTCCCCCAACCTCAGTCCTGGTCTCCCCGCAGTTTCTGTCCTCATGGGCCTCCAGCACACACACACACACACATACACACTCCCCTCCCACCACCCCCACCAGTTCCTCCCGAGGATGGGGCTGCCTGGGAGGAAAGGAGGATGGCCTAGATCCCGGAATGCTCCTATTCAGCCAGACGAGATGCTTCCCGAGATTAGGAAGGAGGGTGCTCAGACGGCCTGGAGGATTGGGGGGGGGCATGGGGAGGCAGCAAGAGTAAAATAGGTTGGGGTGGGGGTGGTCTGGAGAGGCAGAGGGCCCCTGGGGGTGAGAGCAAGGGAGTGATTGATGGTTGACTAGGTCTGAGGACAGGTTACAGCAGGGAGGGAGATTCCCTTATAGGACCGAAGGGGAATGGTGCCTGTTTCTGGCCAGGTCCCTTGTCCTGGGGCACAAAGGAAAGGGGACAGATGTGTGTGTGTGTGTGTGTGTGTGTTGGGGGGCGGGTAGGGGACAGGAGAAGGAGGTAGGGACACAAACTAGGCAGTGAGAAAGGGTCCCAGTGGGCATGGAGGGTGCTGTGGGCCCAGGCTCCAGGGCCATGGTTTGATGGACTTTTTCTGCCCACTGATACCTTGAAAGGGTAGACTCCATCCTTGGGGTAGGAGCCAGGTCCTTACCCAGGGACTGGCTCCAGACCTCAGGCCCCAGCCTTGGCCTGGAGCTCCTGACCCGGGCGAACTCAGGACACCTCGGGGGTTCAGTCGCTCTGTGGCTGCCAGCAGCGTGGCAGGGGTTGGGGGTGGGGGGCTCCAGGCCCGCCTCTCCTTCCCCTCTTAGCGCCCCCTGGTCTCTCTTCTCCCCCTCCCCCTCTTCGTTCCCCCTTCCCCGGCAGCCGCTCCCTCCTCCCCTGCCCGGTCCCAGCCCCTCCCTCTCCTCCCCCCATTCGCGATTCGGGCCGCGGCTGCTGGGCCGGACCCCCCGGGCTCAGCCCGGCCCCTCGCCGAGCCGCCGCCGCCCCCGTTTGCAGAGGAGGAGGCCCCCGGCCGGGGCGTCGGGCGCAGGGCATAAAAACGGGCCGGAGCCGGCGCCCGGGGCACTAGAAGCCTCGTACGGCCCGGGTCAGCGCCCGGCCGGCTGCGCTCCTCCCGGCCGCTCTCCACCCGCCCCCGCCTGGCCCGGCCCGGCCCGGCGCCGACTCCGCGGCAGCCCGCCCGACGAGCCCCTCGCCGCCGCACTGCCCCGGCCCTGGCCCCGGCCCCCTCCCGCCGCACCGCCCCCGGCCCGGCCCTCGTCCCTCCTCCCTCCTCCCGCTCCCGCGCCCTCCTCCCTCCCGCCTCCCCAGCTGTCCCGTTCGCGTCATGCCGAGCCTCCCGGCCCCGCCGGCCCCGCTGCTGCTCTTCGGGCTGCTGCTGCTGCCGCTCGGCCCCGAGCCGGCCCGCGGCGCCGGCCCTGATCCCCCTGCGCTCCCCATCCGTCCCGAGAAGGAGCCGTTGCCCGTTCGGGGAGCAGCAGGTAGGTGGGCGCCCGGGGCTGGGTGGCAGGGCGGGGGTGGGGAGAGGCGCGGGCAGGGAAGTCAGCTCCGGGGCCAGTGCGCGCCAGCCTGGAGGGGGCCGTGGGGCGCAGGTGGCTGGCGCGCGCCAACCCAGGGGGTGTCCTCCTCGCCGGCGTCAGGAGGGCAGCGCCCAGGGGCGGGGTACCCGGCACGAGCCGGGCAGCGGCCGCTAGCCAAGACCGTCCCCGCAGGCTGCTCGTTCGGCGGGAAGGTCTATGCCTTGGACGAAACGTGGCACCCGGACCTGGGGGAGCCCTTCGGGGTGATGCGCTGCGTGCTGTGCGCCTGCGAGGCGGTGAGTTGGACGCGGTGGCGGCGGCCGCCGCCCGGGCCCTCGCGGCGCGGCAAAGCGCTGGGCTGGCGAGCCGGCGGCGTGTACTCCGAGCTGCTGGGCAGACGGGAGCGCTTGGGGGGCGGTGGCTAGGGAGGTTGTTCTATTGCCCGCTCCGCGCCTCGCTTCAGGTGTTGGCTTGGTTGAGCACCCTCTGTGCTGCCTGCTCGGTGCCGGCGCCTACTTGGTCTCCCCCGTGTCTCTGCTCGCTTCCCTTCCCTTAACGACTCTGCTAGACAGAGGCTGTTCTTTTCCCGAGTGGGGATGGGCAAGGCCCAGAGAGGTCACTCGTCTAGGACCACACAGCCTGAAGATGCGGCAAAGCTGCGGGTCTAGGGTCGCGCTTACTTGTCACCTGACACTCACTTGGCATTTTTTTTTTTTTTGCCATTTCTCTCCCGGAGCAGCCCCAATGGGCTCGCCGTGCCAGGGGGCCTGGCAGAGTCAGCTGCAAGAACATAAAGCCCGAGTGCCCGGCCCTGGCCTGCGGGCAGCCACGGCAGCTGCCAGGACACTGTTGCCAGACCTGCCCGCAGGGTAAGGCCTGCTGTGCCCGCCAAGGTCCTGGGAGCGCTGGGTCGGGGGCAGCTCTCTCGATGGTTTGCTGAAGGCAATACTCCTTACACCCTTTGGCACAGAACGCAGCAGTCCCGAGCGGCCACAACCGGGCCTCTCCTTTGAGTATCCACGGGACCCGGAGCACCGCAGTTACAGCGACCGTGGGGACCCGGGCGCGGAGGACCGGGCGCGCGGTGAAGGCCACACGGGTAGGCGGAGCCAGGGGTAGGGTCGCCCGGAGGCCGTATGTCCTGCTGCGGCAGCTGACGGCACTGCTTGGGCCATCCTTCCTCCCCGTGCAGACTTCGTGGCGCTGCTGACAGGGCCGAGGTCGCAGGCGGTGGCACGTGCTCGGGTCTCGCTGGTGCGCTCCAGCCTGCGCTTTTCCATCTCCTACCGGCGGTGAGGAGGGAAGAGGGTCCAGGCCAGGAGAACCGGGTTGGGGGAGAGGAGGACACCAGCTGGGAGCCGGTTGCTCTGGATCCGGTCGTGCTCACACCTTTCTCACCCTTGCAGGTTGGATCGACCTACCAGGGTGCGTTTCTCAGACGCAGCTGGCAGCGTGCTGTTTGAACACCCTGCAGCCCCCACCCAAGACGGCCTGGTGAGAGGATACTACTCCTGAATGCTTGTCCAGTGTGGGTGTGGGGCTGACAGCCTGAGCAAGCAAGCAAGGTGCTGACACTCCTATGCCCATTTTGCACCTGCAGGGTTTCCTCCAGGCCACACGGCTAGGGAGAGGTGGAGCGAGGACCCTGGGCCCCTATATGAGCCTCTTGGGGAGCAGGCAGGCCCCTCTCCTGTCCCTCCTCAGTTGGCCCACCTGGCCTGTGTGCCTGCATTCTAAACCTCTGCCCTCTGGTCTTGCTGTTCCAGGTCTGTGGGGTGTGGCGGGCTGTGCCTCGCTTGTCTCTACGACTCCTCCGGGCAGAGCAGTTGTATGTGGCCCTTGTGACAGCCGCTCACCCTTCAGGGGAGGTGTGGGGGCCTCTTCTGCGGCACCGAGCCTTGGCTGCAGGTAAGGGATGCATGTGGCCCCTGTATGTGCCATCCTGGGTGGCCCTGGGCAAGTGGTGGTGGAGGTGAGGGGGCAGGCAGAGGCCAGTGTGTTCTTATGGCTTCTTCTCATGGTGCTTGCTTCCGCAGAAACTTTCAGCGCCATCTTGACTGTGGAGGGCTCACAGCAGCAGGGTGTAGGGGGTGTTACCCTGCTCACTCTCAGTGATACCGAAGACTCTTTGCACTTTCTACTACTCTTCAGGGGGCTGCTGGAACCCAGGAATGGAGGTGAGTCTTCCTGGGTGGGGAGGAGTAGACAGCAGGGCAGGGGGTGGCAGGGCAATGGAAGGAAGAGCAGCTATCCCTCACTGCCTCAGCAAGGTCCACAGGTGTAGCTGTTGCAGGGCCAGCACAGGCACCTTTAAGGCTCCAGATTCTGCACGAGGGACAGCTGCTGCGAGAGCTCCAGGCCAATGGCTCAGCCCAGGTACGTGAGGCTGCGACTCTGCTGCCACCAGCTCTGGCCTCTTGCTGTGTCACCCACTGCACCCTGCTCTTTCCCCAGGACCCAGGCTTCGCTGAGGTGCTGCCCAACCTGACGCACCAGGAAATGGACTGGCTGGCGCAGGGCGAGCTGCAAGTGGCTCTGGAGAGGACAGCTGGGCCAGAGCTGCACATCAGTGGACATATAGCTGCCAGACAGAGCTGCGATGGTGAGGCAGGATGGGACTGGCACTCTCGGGTCCATAGCCAGGAGCCATACACGTGTCAGAAAAGGGGCCAGGATGGATTTGGGGGAGATTGGGGAGCTAGGGGTGTGAGTGACCATGGTGCAAACCTGCCACCACCTGTCTTGGCAGTCCTGCAGAGCGTCCTTTGCGGGGCTGATGCGCTGACCCCTGTCCAGACTGGGGCTGCCGGTTCAGCCAGCCTTACACTGCTAGGAAATGGCTCTCTGATTTACCAGGTAAGACTCAGGAGTTGTAGGGCAGGATCTGGGGCTGCCAGAGGTCAGGCCTCAGTCTTTCAGTGCCATACCAACTAATTCATCCTCCTCCAACCTTGCTTATCAGGTACAAGTGGTGGGCACTGCCAGTGAAGTGGTGTCCATGACACTGGAGACCAAGCCCCAGCGGAGGAACCAGCGCACTGTGCTGTGCCACATGGCTGCACTCCGCACTGGAGGACAGATGGTGAGGGCCCCTGGCAAAACTTCCATAAGGTCATGTGGGGAGGCCGGGTTGCATGACCAGGGATGGTGTCACTCATTCACTCCTTCATGCATTTTTTTGTTTACTCCTTCATACATCTTGTCTTTTTCCTAAACTTTGTTTTTTTCTTAACTTTCATGGTTGGAAGTTAATTTAAAACTTTAAAAAAAAATGTATTTGAAAGTGAATGAGTGAGAGAGAGAAAGAGAGAGAATCTTCTATCCACTGATTCACTCCCCAGATGGCTGGGGCTGGAATAGTAGAGGAGTAAGGAGCTTCTTTTGGACTTCCCATGTGGGTGCAGGGGCCCAAGTACTTTGGTCATCCTTTGCTGCTTTCCCAGGTGTATTAGCAGGGAGCTGGATAGGAAGTGCAGCAGCCAGGACTCGAACCAGCACCCAAATGGCATGCTGGTGCTGCAGGTAGGGGGTTAACATGTTATGCCATGGTGCTGGCCGTGGTTACTGGGCCTTTCCATGTGTGACTGCACAGAGAGGTTGTTATCATTAGGGTTGTCACGAAGCTAGGAAGTGGCAGAAAGAGCTGAAAACTGGGTGTTCCAGGTTCTGATCCAGTGTTCCTGGAGTGTGAACACATGAGTGGCAGTAGAGGGAGTGCAGGGCATGTGAAAGTTTCATAATCTTGGGCAGTGGACAAGCTGAGGGAGGGGGGTCACTTATTCTTTCCTGTCTCTACTTTGTTACCCCTGCAGACTGTGGGCATCTGCCCAGAGCTGGGTGCCCGAGGGGCTCACATGCTGCTGCAGAATGAGCTGTTCCTGAACGTGGGCACCAAGGACTTCCCAGATGGAGAACTGCGGGGGCATGTGGCCACCCTTCCCTATAGTGGGCACAGTGCCCGCCAGGAGAGTGAGTGACCCGGGACTCTGCCTGCTCATTGGTGCCCTCCAATTTGTGACTCAAGCATGTCAGGGGCAATGGCAGGGGCCTGTCTTTGTGCTTGAGCATCTGGGGAAGGCATGGGTGGCCAGCTGGACTCCGTGGTGCTTAGTGCAGGCTCTCTGGACTTCTGGCCCATGCGCAGTGCCTTCCAGCTCATGGAGTCTGTGTTAGGAAAGGTGGGGTGTGTTGGGAATGAGGGGCTCCTCTGGGCCACCTTCTCATCTGTTGCTTCTCTGTCTGGACCCAGTGCTACCTGTGCCCCTGGCAGGAGCCCTGGTATTGCCTCCTGTGCAGAGCCAGGCAGCGGGGCATGCCTGGCTCTCCCTGGATGCCCATTGTCACCTGCACTATGAAGTTCTGCTGGCTGGTCTTGGTGGCTCAGAGCAGGGCACCGTCACTGCCCACCTCCTCGGGCCTCCTGGGATGCCAGGCCCCCGGCGGCTGCTTAAGGGATTCTATGGCCCAGAGGTGAGGACGTGATGGCACCATGAAGCTTGAAGGGCCTGTGGTGGGGGAAGCAGAGAATGGGCAGCATGATGTTGCAACACAGACCTGGGTAGGGTTCTGCCTCTGCTTATTCACCTTCCTTTCTATGTCCTCTGCTGCTGGCTCCCTTGGGTGGTATATGATATTCTGTACCTGCAGAGGGGTGGGGGGCCTGGGCCACACCCATGGAGTAGGGGGCATGACCATGAACTTGAGACTTGATTTCCAGCCCCAAACCCCCTTGAGAAAGGGGCTAGGTTACTCTGAGGGAGAGAGTTTGTTTAATCTCCCTGGGGCTCTTTCTTCATTTGCTAATCAGGGGCCCAGGAGGCGGGGCCTTTTTGTAAGGTGTGATCCCTCACTCCCGGGTAGGCTCAGGGCGTGGTAAAGGACCTGGAGCCCGAGCTGCTGCGACACCTGGCCCAGGGCACTGCCTCCCTCCTCATCTCCACCAAGGGTAGTCCGCGAGGGGAGCTTCGGGGACAGGTACGTGGGCAGCATGGGTTGTGGGGAAGGGCCAAGGTGGGGCCCCTGTGGTCATCACCCTTTGCTGTCTCTGAACCCTGGGGTAGCAGTGGGTATCAGTTTGCCTGGATGCAAAAGGGCTATACCAGGCTGTCCATGGGCAGCCTACAGCCCACAACCCTGTCCCTCGTGGCTGGGTTGATGGTTGCTGCTAGGAGCACCCTTCCAGAGTGCCCTCAGAGTTCTAGGGGTAGAGATGTTGCCTGGGGACTGTTTGAGCTGTCTGGTGGAGACTTTGCTGCCTCAGTTGACCAGCTTCTCCTCCCAGGTGCACATTGCCAACCAGTGCGAGGTGGGCGGCCTACGTCTTGCTGCAGCTGGGGCAGAGGGGACACGGATGCCTGGGGCTCCAAATGTAGTACCTGCTGCATTGCCAGCACCTCCACCGGTGCCTGCTCCCGAGGTCCCAGTGCCTGTCAAACCTGGTGGTCCAGGGCGGCCCAGAGACCCCAACATGTGCTTCTTTGAGGGGCAGCAGCGTCCTCATGGGGCACGCTGGGCACCCAACTACGACCCGCTCTGCTCACTCTGCACCTGCCAGGTAGGAGGCCCCAAAGGGTGTACTGAGTTCTAGGCTCTGGGGCAAGGGACCCTTTCAAGCCCCTGCCTCTTCATGCAGAGACGGACTGTGATCTGTGACCCTGTAGTGTGCCCAGCACCCAGGTGCCCCCACCCAGTGCAGGTGCTGGACCAGTGCTGCCCTGTGTGCCCTGGTGAGTACCCTGCAGGAAAGGAGAGGGTAGGGATGAAGGGGCCTGCCTGGTGGGAGATGGATACCCGCCTGAGGGAGAGCTGGAGGGGTAAGATTGCTCTCTGCCTTCACCATTTCTGTGGCTCCACAGAGAAGCAAGATGTCAGAGAGCTGCCAGGGCTGCCTAGGAGCCGGGACCCGGGAGAGGGTGAGCCAGAAGGGTGCGTGCCGGAGTGGGAGGATCCAGAGAAACCGTTGGGTTGGAGCAGGGTGGGGAACGGAGGGGGTGGGCTTGAGTGCTGTATATTCCAAGTGACCCCTGGCAAGCCTCATTTATGTTACTGACCCGTAGGCTCTTGGATTAGGCTAGTGTGGCTGGGTGCCTGAGGCTCAAGTCTTGCTTATGGGCCCAGCTGCTGGGCTCAGTACTAATGGCAGCTGGGCACTGTCCCCCTCATCCTCTCCCAGGTTGCTATTTTGATGGTGACCGGAGCTGGCGGGCAGCAGGTACCCGGTGGCACCCCGTCGTACCCCCCTTTGGCTTAATTAAGTGTGCCGTCTGCACCTGCAAGGTATGGCCACCCACCGCCCAAGCTTTTCTGGTGCCATAACCCAGCCGGGTCTGCAGAGATGGGGAGGGGGCTGCCAGGAGAGGAAAAATAATGTAGGCAAAGTACTCTGGGCTCTGAGAGTCAGCTTTCTGTCAGGCCAGGAAGAGGGCTGAACTGGGGATGAGTCCTGCTTGAACGATGGCCCAGTACCACATGATCCCAGGTGCTTTCTGTACCTCCAGAGCCTCACCGCCACCCCAGGGCAGACGTGGTAGCACCTGCCTGGCAGGGCAACTGTGAGAACTGAGTTGAGTGAGGTATATAAAGCCAGGCCAGTCTTCTAGGGCAAAGGCCAAGAGATACCTTACACCTGAGGTGGGGAAAGGAGAGAGGCAAGGCCCTAAGGACCCCCTTAGGCTTTAAGGAGGCTCTAAGGCCTCTCCTTCCTGACCTCCCTCCTTGCTGACATCTCTACAGGGAGGCACCGGAGAGGTACACTGTGAAAAGGTGCAGTGTCCCCGGCTGGCCTGTGCCCAGCCTGTCCGTGTCAACCCTACCGACTGCTGTAAACAGTGTCCAGGTGAGAGGGTGGACAAGGAGGTCTGATCTTTGGAGCTGGCGTGGGTCTTATCCTGGCTGAAGGGAGGCATGGGGAAGGTGGTGGGAAGGGGCTTCACAGCCAGGTCAGCTTGTGCTGAGCACTGCTTTATGCCTAGCCTGGAACTAGGGCTCTATGAAAGTGTGTGGAGTAGTGGGCTGTGAGGGGTTCCAATACCTGCTCCATCCATCTTTCCATCCATCCACCCATTTATTCACTCTTTCACCCCCATATCAACCCTCCACCCACCCATCCACCTAACCAGTTAGCCAGCCAGCCAGCCACCCACCCACTCACCTATCCATCTATCCAGCTAATTATCCATCCATCCATCCATTTATCAACCCATGTATATACCTTCCTTCCAGCCTCATATAATGCCTACTCAGTATTAGAAACTGCTAGACACTGAGGATTCGAAGAGAAAGAAAACCTGATCTGTCCCTCTTGGGCTGACCCCTTCTTGTTTACTTTCCTACAGTGGGATCAGGAGCCCGCCCCCAGTTGGGGGACCCCATGCAGGCCGATGGGCCCCGGGGCTGCCGTTTTGCAGGGCAGTGGTTTCCAGAGAGCCAGAGCTGGCATCCATCAGTACCCCCCTTTGGAGAGATGAGTTGTATCACCTGCAAATGTGGAGTAAGTGGTGACAGGGGCTTTAATGAAATGGGTCCCGGGACTCTGTCCTGGAGTCAGGACACCTTGCCAGGCAGGCTTCACTGCAGAGGCTGCAGGCCACCCTCAAGTGCTCTGTCCTACTCCAGGCAGGGGTGCCCCATTGCGAACGGGATGACTGTTCAGTGCCGCTGGCCTGCGGCTCCGGGAAAGAGCGTCGCTGCTGCTCTCACTGCACACTCCGGGGCTGTAAGTGAGGGAGTGGCTGCCAGGGGTAGGGGTGGGTGGGTGTGGCAGCTGCAGGCTGGGGAGGGCAGAAAGCAACATGACACTCAGGGGCAGTGCAGTTTGTTTCGGAAGTGCCACTGTTGGCACCCCAGGGAGGTTTCTGAAGCTCAGAAGATAAGCTGGATCACTCAGCCTAGAAACTTCTGACCACTGTGGGGTCAGGCAGGTACAGATGCAGTGCTGTGTCCTGCATGCCAGCCTGTTCTCTCTTCCTCCAACATGCACTCCTTTCTGTCTCCAGCAGCCCCAGAGACCAGGACTGTTCCACAACTTGAGAAAGCAGCTGAGGGCTCGTAGTAATGGCTGGAAGCTGCATGACCAAGAGGACTGGGCCTGAGTTGGGGGAAGGGGCAGCGCCGTGGACCCCACATTCTCCTGTGGGGACACCCAGTGCCTTGGGCTCCTCCAACTGCCTCTTCTCCCCACCCCACTACCTCTGGGCACCACCTCCACGGGGGGCGGGGGTGGACAGCAGCCAGGCCACACCTAGGCCATCTCTACTCGGACTTCTGGCCTGCCACCCCCTGGCCTGTGCCCTTTCCTTTTGTACATACTGTCACTGGCTTGTTGGGAGTTTTAATTTATCCTCACTCAGCACCCAGGGTCCTCCTTCCCTCTTCTTTTCCCCTACTCTACTCCTGCTGCCCCTGAGCTGAGCAGAGTCATCGCTGGAGAGTTATGTATTTATTAAAATATTCTGTTTTTCAGCCTTTGTGCTTGAGGTTGGCTGTTTGTGGCCAGGGCTTGAGAGATTGTCTTGTGGGGACCAGGGTTCTGGAGAGTGGGGGCTGGGGGCATCTGGCTGCCTCTCCTGCATTCTGCCCATGGGCCCAGGACTGTCCTGGAGACAGCTATTGCCTCTGGGACTCGGGCCACCTGAGGCAAGATACACATGCCAGCATGGCTTCCCACATGGCTGGCATTCTGGCTGACTCCATGGTTGAAGTTGTTCCAGAGAGAGAGTGCCTGCCTCTCCATGGAAACTGATTGCATTCGGCACCCATTCAGGGGCAAATCGGGTCAGGCAGGGGCTGATGGGGCTGGGATCAGCCCTTGTCCAGCTGTTAGCTGTTTGTCTTGATTTGAGACGAGACTTACCTTTCCTGGTCCTTTCATCTCTTTTCCTTCACTCCCATGCCTGCCATCAGGAGCCAGGAACTCCCATGGCCTCCACAGGCTGCTAGCAAGTGGGAAGATGCAAGTGCATTGCTTATACCTGTAGATCTATTGCTTGCATACCATGTGTGGTGCCCAGGGATGACCTTGGGGTCTGGGGCTGGATGGGCTGGGGGAAGCAAGCTGTGTGCGGGCAAGGAGTTACTGTGTCAGCCCACGGAGCCCCTATCCACTACCTAGCCAACTCACTTGTTGCCATGCTCCTGCATGCCCTGTATAAAACAGATGTTTGCTCTCTCGTGGGATTCAGTGAGAGCTTGTGCATTACACAGCCTGCCATGTGTTACTTGGATAAGTTGCTATAACTCGGGATTTTTTTTTTATTCCACTTTCCACAAAATTTTAAAGAAGATTTATATATAAACATATATATATGTATATATATACACACACACATATATATATAAACTAGAAAGGTGGATATACAGAGAGGAAGAGAGACAGAGAGGAAGATCTTCTGTCTGATGGTTCACTCCCCAAGTGACTGCAATGGCCAGTACTGCGCCGATCCGAAGCTGGGAACCATTAGCTCTTCCAGGTCTCCCACACGGGTGCAGGGTCCCAAAGCTTTGGGCCATCCTCGACTGCTTTCCCAGACCACAAGCAGGGAGCTGGATGGGAAGTGGAGCTGCCGGGATTAGAACTGGCACCCATATGGGATCCTGGGCGTGCAAGGTGAGGACTTTAACCATTATGCTATTGTGCCAGGCCCCACTTTCCACAAATTTAAAAAAGTTATTTATTTGAGAGATAGAAGTTTCACCTGCTGGCTCACTACCTTCATTCTTGTAATGGGCGGGACTGGACTGGACTGGACCAAGAGCTAGGAACTCAATCCAGGTCTCTCAAGTGGGTGGCAGGGACCCGAGCCCTTTGGGCCATCCCTGGCTGCCCCTTAGCATCTATACTGGTAGAAAATTAGAGTCAGGAGCTGGAGCTGGGACTCAAATCAAGGTCTTCTGATGTGGGATGTGCCAGGTTGAACACTTGGCTCCTGAGGTGTGATTTCTGGGGCTGAGCTGGAGAGAAGGGCAGGGAGCAATGCTGGGGGAGGAAGTGGTAGTGGGCTGCCCTGCCTAATCTGGATCACAGTGAGGATTGAGTGAGTAACCAGGCTGAAGGCTGAAGGGGAAGGGACTTTACGGATGGGGATGATTGCTCTGAGCCTAGGCCATGGTTGTGAGTAGAAGGCTGATGAGGTTAGGTTGGTCAGGTAGGGATAAGCAAGCAGCAAGTATCAGCAACAAGTGTGAGGTGATGGGTGATTTGGCTCTGAGATGGGAGCACTGGCAGTCTTGTCCTCCATAGTGTAGGATGTGGTGGGAAGTTAGATTCTTAGACCTGACCGTGCTTGTTATTCATACTCCCAAGAGGAGTACCCCACAAGATGGCTTGGTGGTGCCATCCCCATCTCCCTCCGCAAGGCAGCAGCTTCTGCCCTGGATCTTGGATTGCAGTCGCCCAGAAGAGTTCAGGGTAGGCTTTCGTGGCGAGTGAATTAGCAGTAAATAGAACCAAGTGGGACACCATTCTTGAGACTCCTTTCCTGTGTCAGCTCGCTTTCCCACTGAAGCTGGCCAGTTCCCCACAGGCTCTGCCTGCCACCAAGGGCGGATGGGAAGGAGATCCAGGACGGCTAGCCTGGACAGGCTGTCTGATTTCGTGGGAACCCTGGCACATAGGCACCTCCAGAGGGCACCCCATCCATTCTCCTGTGGGCAAGTGCACGGCCCTTTCCCTTTCCAGCCAGACCAAAGCGAGGCAAACAAATAAACAAACTAAAAACAAATACAATCAAAAACTCCCAAATCAAGACCAAAAGAAAAAAACCTAAAGTGGTTCCAGCAGAACCCAAGGAAAGGATTTCAGTATCTTAAAACAGTTCCCAGCAGGATTGAAAACTTGATCGTTACCCCAAGTGCAGGGAGACGTCTACTTTGTGGAGACTGGCTCTCCAGGGCTCTTCAGCAGAAAGGGCCAGGAGGTCGCAGACAGAGGATCTGCTGGCTTGATGGGCAGGTCCGGACACACCTGCTTTTCCAGGAGCAGACACACTTGAGGCCCTCTTCTTGGCCACATGCCACTCCTGGGACTGCTTTGTCTGCATTCCCAGGATGCCCTTTCTCACTTTTTCATAAACCAGGCCCAGGTTTGGGCTGCCAAGTGATGAACCGCCACCTGCTCAGCGCTATGGTGTGGTGGCACTGCCAGCAGCCATCAGTTTACCTGGGGCTGAGTCACTAGAGCAGTGACTGTTTAGGCTTCTGAATATGAGTGATCTGTAGCAGTGACTTAAGAATGGTCATTTTCAAACCTTGGCCATGGATGTGCTAAAGGATTACTGGTCAGAGGGAGATATGGAGAGTGCTCTGGGGACCTACTGGTATCAGGAAACCAGGTCCACACTCTACTTCCCTGCCAGCTGTTCGGCTGTATTCCAAAAACTTGATTGCTTTCAGCAAAGCTTCAGAACAGCCAGGTGATTGCTCATCTTAATAATGTGTTATGGTGTAATAGGTTAAGTCTCCACCTGAAGTATTGGAATCCCTTATGGGCACCAGGTTCATGTCCCAGCTTCTCCAATTCTAATCCAACTCCCTGCTTACAGCTTTGGAAAGCAGCAGAGAACAGCCAAGACCTTGAACCCTTGCACCCATGTGGGGGACTCGGAAGAAGTCCTAGGCGCTCTGCTTCTAATTTTTTTTTTAAAGATTTATTTTTATTATTTTTTTATTGGAAAGGCAGATATACAGAGAGGAGAATCTTCCGTCCGATGATTCACTCCCCAAGTGAGCGCAACGGGCCGATACTATGCCAGTCCAAAGCCAGGAACCTCTTCCGGGTCTCCCACGCGGGTGCAGGGTCCCAAAGCTTTGGGCTGTCCTCGACTGCTTTCCCGGTCCTCGACTGCTCTCCCAGGCAGGGAGCTGGAAGGGAAGCGGGGCTGGCGGGATTAGAACCGGCGCCTATATGGGATCCCAGGCGTGCAAGGCGAGGACCTTTAACCACTTGCGCCACCGCGCCGGGCCCTCTGCTTCTAATTTTTAAAAAATAATTTTTATTTTATTGAAAAATATTAGTTAACATAGTTGAAAGTGATGCATGCCCATGTGGACCCCTGATTAGGGTGGGGAGGGTTAAGGTATGGAGGAAAATGAGTGAGACAAACGTTTCACTTCTTTTCTTTTTTATCTTTTGTGTCTGGTGTGGGGGAAGGGCAGGGGCCTAGGAATTGGGGACTGTCCTTCAATGATTCCTTCTGATGTGGGGAAAAACACTCTGGGGTGCTACTTGAATGTTCGGACAGTTCAGAGATGTTATCAGCTTTGCTGAATCAGGGTTGAGAAAATCTTTCCAATGCCTATTGACTGACCAAGTCCACTTTAGGGCATCTGTAGACCCAGATACTTGCTGCAAGGCTTGGCCAGGAGAGTTGTCCAACCTGTTCTGCTGTCCTCTGCTGGCCTAGATGTGCTGGCTGTAATGTCCCCTGTGTGCATCTGGGCTTGCTGTCCACAGCTGATGTTCAGTTGCATCAGCAACTGAGGAGGCACAGTCCTGATAAATGCTTCCCAAGGTCTTTTGACCACATACTTAGTGAATTTCCCTGTGGCTGGAAGGTTTGAGTCTAGCCATCTAGGTGGGGAGTTCTCTAGGAAACCTTGCTTGGAGTAGAGGGCCTCAGACTTGACTCTTGTGTGTGTGAGCTAGTTCAGAGTCAGTTTTAGTCCAGCATTTGCACCAGCCAATGCACATTCTGGTGGATGCAACTGCCTGGTCAGTTCTCTCCCCAGACCCATCTCTCACATGAACTGATGGCAATGCAGCCTAACCCAGCCTAGCCCTCCACAGGCCTGGTGCTCAAGCACACCAATGGGTACAGTGGCCTAGTTGAGGAGACTCCCAACAACCTGTCCCCAGTCCTGGTCTCCACACATACTGGCATGGTGTTGTGGTCTAGCCTAGCTTGTACTGCATCTCACTGGGCTGTCATGCACATCCATGGGTGCTGTGGCCTAGAAGAGCAACCAGCCCTAACACCTGGTGCACACATATGGCAAAAGATGCTGTTGTTTTATCCAGTCCAGCCCACCCCTAGGACTTGCTCTTGTGCTTACCAG